GCTGTCTGCAGAATAGAAGCTAACTTTTACAAGAGCTATAAACTATAAACAAAATGTGTTCTAAAACGCACCAGCTTCAGGTAATACAATATTTTTTTAGAACATATAACCCTTGTCGTTAGCTGAGAATGTTTAATAAATAAAACACGTTTAGTCAGTTAAGGGAGGCTCTTGAGAAAATGTAATTGTAATACTAATTAATTAAATATATTTTCTGGCTAGTTTTTTTCTTTTGCAAATATACTCTTTTTTTGGGTAGAAGAATCACCTAATTTGATCAAGAGTTTTAGAAAATATTAAAATATTATTGTTATTAATTTTAAGTTTCTTAAACTCCAATAAAAAAGAAAAGAAATGAACTTTCTTGTAAAATTTAATTACCTATTTAAAAAACTGTAATTTAAAATTTAAGAAACTATTTAAAATTCTTAAATTATAAAAAATAATATTAGTTTTTCTTTTGTATTTTATGTTCTTGACCAATTATTTTATATACAGTTTACCGATAAAGGAGAGGTCTATGCCTTCCTTTCAGTCGGTGACATCTAGAAGACCGCTCCTGTCGAAACGTGGCAGCATGTGTTTGAGATTCTCCTGCAGTCTCTTATTGGCGTACATTCCTTTCCGAAAATTCCTTCCCCGCTCATCGTCCTTCATCAAGGCATTGAAATCGGCGTCTTTCGTCTGATCGTTGATCAATATAGCCTGGCAGACCAGGGATACGCTGACGGCTATCGAAATACAAATAAAAATAATTAAATATATTTTATTGCTGATAAATTTGTAAATAGATTTCTCACCAAAGAATCGACCCTTCTCCAGCTGCAAGACCAGCTGTCGCAGGGTGGGCGTGTATCCGACAAATTTGAGATCCTCCAGCGTCTCTACCAGCACAGTGTGGTAGTACTGAATTAGTTCCTCCTGTTGTTCAAATTGAATGGTGCTTTGCACAGAGGTATTGAAAAAGTAGTGTAGGTCCACTGCCGGCGAGGACCAGCTGCAGAACTGGAAGTCTATGAGGATCATGTCCAGGGGTTCCTTCCTCTCTCCGTAGCGCATCATCACGTTGTTTACCCAATAATCGCCGTGCATCAGGGTGTTGAACTCTTCCGGCTGTGGGTCGTAGACCCGCGTGGAGTATTCCATCACTCGCTTTCGCACCTCCCTCAGTTTACGCGCGTAGTAATCTCCCAGCTCGGGACATGTGGCTGCAAAGTCGGCTGCCACATCACACAGATTTTCAAAAATATGTGCAAATCCCTTCGTGTGACGATTGAGAAGGCCATGATCGAACTTGGTCAGTATCCCGGGCTTTCGTTCATTTAGGACAGCGGCGGCCGCATGCATTTTGGCCAGTTTTCGGAGTCCCAAGCGGGTGTGTTCCAGATCGAAACCTATGAGGCGATCGGCTAGCACATGCTTGCTCACAGCCAGATCCTCGAATATGATGGCCTCGTGCTCGTAGTCCACATGCAAAGTGGTGGCGAAGAGCTTTTCCGGCTGGCGCGTCTCTCCGATGAGGGCGCTCAACTGGGGCAGCACCTTCTCGTACATCAGCATCTCCGTGGTGCTGACCTGGTACTTGGAGAATATGCCTGAGGCAAACGGATCATTCTCGTACGTGGTCTTAACAATATAGAATTCAATTTCCGGAGTTTTGGACGACGATCGCAGGAAGAGAACCTTGACGCGGGTCATAACACTGGCATAGTTATCACCCTTGGCGGTGGCGGGCTTGATCTCTAGCCCGGTGATTCTCAGGCCGGGATCCTTCTTCAAGTCCCTCAGCAGGGGCTCTAGATAGGATGCATCTAGCCAAACGGGCGCCGGATGGAAGTCCTTGGTCTCTTGCTCTTTGCCCTGTTCCACCATGGTGTTCACTTGAGTTCTGGATCGCACATTTCCGTTGGAGGCCCCATTTATAGGCGACTAGGGGCTACAATCTCGATGTCGTCGCCAGATTTCCACACTATGGTATTACGTAGCAGATGTATACTACGTTAGAGGTTTGTGAGCTCGCGAATTGTATCTGAAAGTATATCTGGGAGCAGCACCAGATATAGGAAGCGTTCAGAGGCGTCTAAGATAGCGCCGCACACATTCTAGGATGATATGATGTAAGTGTGTCGGTTGTAATCATGCAAAAAACTGCTGACGTGGCGTCTAAAAATCGCTCTCGTTCCCGCGCCAAATTAATCTGCCTTCGCAAGCCATAAATCCGTTAATTTGCATAACAAAGCCCCAGCAAATACAGATAGATTTAAGTGTTTCATTCGGCTTACAGTTGAACTGGTTGTTTCTGGTTTCGGAATTTTGCAAGTAATGCTCGGAAAAGTGTTTAAGAATTTCACAAGGATTTGTTAAATAGAAAGATCCAGAACAAGTCAAACAAGGAGGAGATCTGATTAGGAGTTGGGCTGATACTACACGGCTTGCATACTCTCAAGAGCCAGCATAGGCATATTATCAGCAATCTGTTAAGATTTGTAAATTAATGATAAGGTGGGTTAAGTAGCTACTACGTTTAGGTGCACCTAAAACTAAATTCTATTTAAAGAGTTTGTTAAGTTAGGAACAGCAGACTTTTAGGCAAGAAAAGAAAGAGTTCAAATTCTCTTCTTGCACGAAATAAACAAGACAACAAATTTAATTTATACAAAGGAAAATACTATAAAATATATATAACAATATAAAATTGCATGCTGATGAAAGTTTTTCTAAATCAATATTTATATGAGTGATAAATTTCCAATAAAACATTTCTTTTCTTTTTTATATATATGTATATATTTTCGCCGGAAACGTTTAATGCCATTTGAACTTTACCGGGCGTTTAAGGTGTTTGATAAATATGGTACAAATTGCTATTGACGTAGACTATATACAGATATTTACAAAATGTTTACATATTTACAAAGGTTAACGAACAACACGGGAAGACAGATCGCTTGGGTGGAATCTCTTGAGTCTTCTAAGAGATTGCGGGTCGGCTAGCCTGCAAGCCAGTGGATTTGAGTGTGCCTGAAGGCTGTCCATGTAGCGACTGCTGTGATTGTTTAGGAGGTCGCCCACCGGAACAAGGCGTAGGTCGTTCTGGATAGTTTGGTTGGTTACCAGGGAAGCCCGGATGCCCGTCGAGCCTGCACCACCCTCACTCAGCCTGTTAATAAATAAAATAAAATAAAACTTCTGAGAGTTAACTTAATTTTTTGTGTTATTGTGTAAATAGTACGTGGTTGTTACATAAAAAAAATTAAATAAATCAAGTAACCTTAAATTTGAATTTGTTATCTTTAAATTAATAATAATAATTTATAATAATAGATTTTCAATAAGAAGTGCAAATAATAAAATATAAAACGTTTTTTTTTTATATTATTAATAGATATTTGTGTGTGTACAACACTGCATATGAGTATGCATTGTAAATCAAACTTCCGGGAGTAAATCAGTTTTTATTGTACATATTAATGTATCTATTAATTGTAAATTACATTAAATAAAAAAAGAATATAAATAAATAAATAAAGTAAACTTAGATACATAAAACTTCTATCAATATAGGTTTTATAAAAAAAGTAGCTTAATTTTGTTAACCTTTAAAAATATTTTAATTATTATAGTTTAAAATAATATATTTTCAATAAGAAATAAAACTAGTAAACTATAAAACTGTTTTTTTTTTTTTGTTCTTTTTATTAATATATCATTCTGTTCGTACAACACGGCGTATGAGTGATGCATTTTATGGTTATCAGGCAGTGTAGTGGCAGCGCAAAACGTGCTCTATGTACTAGTGTGAGTCATTTAAGTGTCGCTGCCAGGGCGAATAATGAGCTCAGATGTGAGTTTAGCAGCTTTTTTACAATCCCAAGTAGTCGTCAAAGTGAAACGCTGCTCTCGAGGTATGTGCAATTGTGATGCAATTGCAAAAAATCTAGAACGTTTGGGTTAAATATTAGGTGTGGTTGAAAATAATGAACAGCTCAAACAGCGTTGAAATGTTAATCCAAATTAAACATTATCTTCATACTAAATTAGGAATGTTTCATTATATATATGAAAGCCATGAAAAATTAAGAGTGTTTAGTGCACTTAAAATCGTATTCCATTAAATGCTGCGAGCCAAGGTTGAGACGATGCCTGAGGAGACCACCACCCACAAGACCCACCCAGCGTCTTCCTAGCTCACCTTGGACTACGTCCAGGAGAAGCTGCGCATCTACTTTAACGACAAATCGCTTAAGCTGGAGAAACTCAACGTGGAGCTAGCCATCGCCAAGACATTGGCGCGCTGGGGAGGTGCTCATCCACTATGGCGTGTATACTCGCGAAATGGATATATACGAAGAGATCCTTCCGCAACTGTCGGATCTACTACGAAAAGAGCTGAAGAATCCCAGGAAAGATGTCTGCCGTCACCATGAACGTGGAACGCGAACGAGAGTTTGAGTTCCAGGTGCAGTTCCGTGCCAGGGGTTTCTATGGTGAGTTGAGGTGTCCCTTGATGAAATGTGAAAGTTTGCGAATAGTTTAAATTAACAAAGTTTTCTAGTTCTAGTTAAACACTTCTAGAGGTGCACCTTTCTAAGTCCTAGCCTAATTCAGTTCGATATCAGCAGATAGTTTTAGTAATTATTTTGTGGGCCATAACTGACCTTTTCATGCTAAAAAAGCATTGTACTTGACTGATAGCAAATGGATTCGCACTTGTCTCCGGCGCAGATAATACTGAGCTCTGGCCAAACAATAATAAAAATCTCTCCGTCGGTTTACATGCCCGTGACTGATAGTGAAATAGAAGTAAGCTTAGAATGCAAAAAAAAAAAAAAAAGTGAAAACACAGCTGTCTGAAGAAAAACAAGCTAACTTTTACAAGGGGCTATAAACTAATAAACAAAATGGGCTCTAAAAAGCAGCTGCAATGCAATACAATATTCGTTTTGAAAATATAAAGCTTGCGGTTAACTGTGAACGTTAAATGAAACACGTTTAGTCAATTAAGTGAGACGGTTGAGAAAATTTAATATTTAACAATTAAATATATTTGCTCGAAAATTTTCACTTTTGTGACTCTATGCTTACCTAATTTGATCATAAGAGTTTTATGAAATATTAAAAACTTTTTGTTATTAAGTTTAAGTTGTAGTAAACATTATTTTCTTAAAATTCATTAAACAACAAGTAGACATTTCAATAAACTTACTCTTAAATTTTACGAAACCATATAAAACAATTATTCCATATATAGTTTAAGTATAATTGATAACTTCCTTTCAGTCGATGACATCTAGAAGACCACTCCTGTCGAAGCGTGGCAGCATGTGTTTCAGATTCTCCTGCAGCCTCTTGTTGGCATACAACACTTTCCTAAAGTTCCTTCCTCGCTCATCGTCCTTCATCAAGGCATTGAAATCGGCGTCTTCTGTCTGGTCGTTCGTCAAAATGGCCTGGCAGACCAGGGATACGGTGACGGCTGTCAAAGAAAAAATAAATAAATAAAAGAATTAAACATTTTCTGTTGTTGATCATTTTAGAAACAGATTTCTCACCGAAAAATCGACCCTTTTCCAGCTGCAAGACCAGCTGTCGCAGGGTGGGCGTGTATCCGACAAATTTGAGATCCTCCAGCGTCTCCACCAGCACGGTGTGGTAATACTGAATCAGCTCCTCCTGTCGCTCAAACCGAATGGCGCTTTGCACCGAGGTATTGAAATAGTAGTGCAGGTCCACTGCTGGTGAGGACCAACTGCAGAACTGAAAGTCGATGAGGATCATGTCCAGGGGTTCCTTCCTCTCTCCGTAGCGCATCATCACGTTGTTTACCCAATAATCGCCGTGCACCAGGGTGTTGAACTCACCCGGCTGAGGATCGTAGACCCGCGTGGAGTACTCCATCACTCGCTTTCGCACCTCCCTCAGCTTCAGGGCGTAGTGATCTCCCAGCTCGGGACATGTGGCTGCAAAGTCTGCTGCCACATCACACATATTTTCGAAGAAGGGTGCAAAGCCTTTCGTGTGACGGTTAAAAATGCCACGATCGAACTTGGTCAGTATACCGGGCTTTCGTTCATTTAGGACAGCGGCGGCCGCATGCATTTTGGCCAGTTTTCGGAGTCCCAAGCGGGTGTGTTTTAGATCGAATCCTATGAGGCGATCGGCTAGCACATGCTTGCTCACAGCCAGATCTTCGAAAATGATGGCCTCGTGCTCGTAGTCCACATGCAAAGTGGTGGCGAAGAGCTTCTCCGGCTGGCGCGTCTCTTCGATGAGGGCGTTCAACTGGGGCAGCACCTTCTCGTACATCAGCATCTCCGTGGTGCTGACCTGGTACTTGGAGAATATGCCTGAGGCAAACGGATCATTCTCGTACGTGGTCTTCACAATATAGAATTCAATTTCCGGAGTTTTGGACGACGATCGCAGGAAGAGAACCTTGACGCGGGTCATAACACTGGCATAGTTATCACCCTTGGCGGTGGCGGGCTTGATCTCTAGCCCGGTGATTCTCAGGCCGGGATCCTTCTTCAAATCTCTCAGCAGGGGCTCTAGATAGGATGCATCTAGCCAAACGGGCGCCGGATGGAAGTCCTTGGTCTCTTGCTCTTTGCCCTGTTCCACCATGGTGTTCACTTGAGTTCTGGATCACACATTTCCGTTGGAGGCCCCATTTATAGGCGACTAGGGGCTACAATCTCGATGTCGTCGCCAGATTTCCATATTATGGTAGTCGTAAAGCAACCCGACTCAGGCAATTACGTAGCATCTGTATACTACGTTAGAGGTTTGCGAGCACGCGAATTGTATCTGAAAGTATATCTGGGAGCAGCATCAGATTTAGGAAGCGCTCAGAGGCGTATGAGATAGCGCCGTACACACTCTATGATTAGATGGTGTAAGTGTGTCCGTTGTAAATCATGCAAAAATCTGCTGACGTGGCATTTAAAGAGTGCTCTCGTTCCCGCGCCAAATTAATCTGCCTTCGCAAGCCATAAATCCGTCCGTTAATTTGCATAACAAAGCCCCAGCAAACACAGATAGATTTCTGTGTTTCAGTTGTTTGTGGGTTTATTCTTCGACTTACAGTTGAGCTGGTTGTTTCTGGTTTCGGAATTTTGCAAGTAATGCTCGGAAAAGTGGTTAAGAATTTCACAAGGATTTGTTAAATAGAAAGATCCAGAACAAGATCAAATAAGGAGGTGCTCTGATTAGTTGGGGAGATAGTACACGGCTTGCATACTTTTAGGAGCCAGCATAGGCATATTATCAGCAATCTATTAAGATTTGTAAATTAATGATAAGGTGGGTTAAGTAGCTACTACGTTTAGGTGCACCTAAAACTAAATTCTATTTAGAGAGTTTGTTAAGTTAGGAACAGTAGACTTTTAGGAATGAAATTAAAGACTTTTGAATGCTCTCTTGCACTTAATCCAAATTAATTTTTAAATTAACTTACCGGGAGCAACCCTATTTTTTTGTGTATGTGCGCATCTATAACTTGTAAGTTACATTAAATAAAATAATAAATAATAAATTTAATAATTACAGTTACATTAGATACCTAATATGTCGTCAAGACTTATAATGATATGGGTTCCATGCAAAAAAAAAAAAGCTTAAAATCGTTACCCTTTAAAAATAATTTTAATAATAATATAATAATAAATTAAAGTAATATATGATCAATACGAAATATAATTAATAAAATATTAAACGTTTTTTTTTTGTTTTTTGTTTTTTTTATATAAGTTCATATTTATTTATACGTTAATCAACCAAATCAATGATTATAAATCGTAGGGACTAACACTAACAACAAACATAACATGGAAACATAACAGTAAACGATAAACAACAATTTATAATTTACAAAGGCATTTCAGTTATTGGTGTAGGACTCGGGTTCTTTGCCTCCCTCTTAACCAAAGGTCACCTGGATGTCGTCTCTTCAGTCTTCGTCTGGACAATGGCCAATGATGCCGCTAGGTGGTTGGTGTGGGCCAGAAGCCGTTCATTGTACCGACTTGAGTGCCTGTTGATCTGCTCCCTCACTGTTAGCATTTGGAGGTCGTTAGCGATGTCTGCATTTCTAGCAAACCAGGGTGCATTTGTGATTGTGCGCAGCGCCCGGTTTTGGACCCTTTGCACTTTCATTACGTTAGAGTCGGACGCAGTATCTGGATGCAATAGGTCATAGCAGGAACAACTATTGCTTTGTATAGCAGCACTTTGTTGCTGAGGCTCAGCTTGCTAGTGGTCTTTAGCATCCAGTTTAGCTTTCTGAGTTTTCCACGGCATGCTGCTGCTATTTTGGTGGTGTGTTGCCTCCACGTGAGCCGCTTATCCAGGATCAATCCCAGGTATTGGGCCTGAGGAGATTGAGGAATTAGCGTGTCCTGAAATTTGACCCTAGGGAGGATTTTGTGTCTCAGGGAAAAATTGCAGTGTTGCGATTTACTTCCATTTATGGATATGTTCCACCTCTTCGTCCACTCGCTATATGTATCCAATTTAATAATAGGTTTTTTTTTTCTACGTGCAACGTGGCGTATGAGGGATATACATATTTTAAATGTAATATCGGAAAACTGGTCAAATTGTAAGTCTTTTATAAATAAAATTAATTAAAATAACAAAAAATAAAAATAAGCATTAAATCTTTTAAGAAAATATAAATTTAAATTAAGACTTAAATTCATTAAATACTTTCTTTAAAAATAATATATGTATTTCCAATTAGGAATCACGTAACATTTACTAAACTAAATCACGAAACGTAATAGTTTTTAAATATAAAATGGAATATCTCAGTTATAGCTGTTCTTGCTGGGCCTCCCTTAGCAGGTTTGGTCCACTTCCAGGAGCCCCTTTCTATCGAAGAACGGGACCAGAGCCTGAAGATTCTGCTGCACTATGGGATTGGTATACAATCGGTTCTTGAAACGTATTCCTCGCTCGTCGTCGTTCATCAAAGCATTGAAGCAGGCATCCGTGGGATCCTGGCTGATCATCACGGGCTGCACCACCACCGTGGAGTGCATGGCTACAAGGAGTTCCCAGTTAGTTAGATAGCCAGATGGACAGCCTCAAACTTTACACTCACCGAAAAAGCGCTTCTGCTCCACCTGCTGCTTGAACTGATGGAGACTGGGAATGGGATTCTGGCTGTAGTCGAGCTTCTTTAGCGTTTCACTAAAGATGCTGTGGTAGAACTGGAACAGACCGTTCTGCTGATCTCGGCGCAGGGGCTCCTTTAGCGAAGTGTTGAAGAAATGATGGAGATCGATGCAGGGCGAGCCCCAGAAGGAGTACTGGAAATCGATGAGCAGCACGTCCACGGGTCGTCCCGTCAGCTGGTCGTACTTGAACATCACATTGTTGGTCCACACATCCCCATGGGCCAGGACATTCACGTGGCCAGCAGTGGGTTCAAAGCACTCCCGCCCAATGTCCATGTAGTGGGGTGCCAGGGCGAACAGCTTCTCTCCGTAGTGCGCCAGCTTGGGAACCTTACTCATCCATCGGGCGGCGGCCAGCAGGCCTCCCACAAAGTAGCCGCTGTATGCATTTGTATATTTGTTGAAGAATCCTCGATCGTACCCCTCCAGAGAGCCCTTTTCTCGCTCATTTAGCACCGCTGAGGCCGCATGGAACTTGGCCAGTTTTCGAAGGATGAGGTGAGTATGCTCCTCGTTGAGACGACGCACTCGATCAGCCATCACATAACCGGCCACGGAGAGATCCTCAAAGATAATGGCCATGCGCTCACGATCCACAAAGATGGCAGTGGGAAAGATCTTTTCAGTATCTCCAATCTCCATTAAAAGATCTCTTAGCTTGGGCAACACCTCTTGGTAAATGGTCATCTCGCGATTGTAAATGTCATAGGGTGCCATCAGCTCCTGGGTCAACTCATCGTCATCGATTTCCGTCTTTACAATCAGATTTTGCAGCTGCTCCTTTTCCTCCTTGGGTGATGAAAGCTTGAAGTTTACTCTCACTCGGGTCAGCACTCCGCCGTAATTCTCGCCGGGTCCTAGAGCTGGATTAATTTGTAGCCGAGTAATGGTTAGATCATCATCCTTGTAGTGGGAGCGCAAAGCGTGTTCGATGTACTTGTGGGTCAGCCACTCGGGTGCCGCTGCCATTTTGTGCAATGTATTTGAAGTCTCTGGAGCGAATAATGAACTCAGATGTGAGTTTAGCAGCTTTTATACAATCCCCAGTAGGAGTCAAAGTGAGACGCTGCTCTCGGGGTATGTGCAATTGTGATGCACTTGCAGAAAAAATGAACAATGTTTTGGTTAAATATGAGGTGAGGTTGAAAATAAAAAACCTCTGAAAAACGTTGAAATTTTTGGCCAAATAACACATTTTTCTGAAACAAATTAAGAGTGTTTCTTTTAATATAATTACCTTCCATTACTTTATTTGCCATTTCCAAAATAAGTAGTAGTTGTGAATTTTAAATTCGAATTAAGCCGGATATGTTAATATGAACCAAAATTAATTGGACATACTCAAAGGCATATGATATCCCAAATCCTAAACTTAAAATAGCTTTAATATTTTTCTCAAAGTGTACTTGACACTCATCTCTATATATCTCTATATGCATCTCGGTCCTTCTGGATTAGCTTGACGCACTCGGCTTTTATGCCCTGACAAACATTTGATAAGGAACCCCAGGTCTGAGCCTGTATTATTTGCCTCTGTGATTATCTCCGTTTGGCAACAGGTCTCGAATATGCGTATCGTGTGCCAAGCATCACGCCCTTAAGCAACACTGCAATGTTCTTAGGTCTCTTAGATATGATATCTTAAGATTTATAGGCTTGAGAAGAATATATAGAGAAATACAGGCATGTTGTGATGTATGTAGCTCGAGTAATATTAGTCCCATTGAGAATTCAAAAGATTAAGGCTCATTGTCGTTTTAAGTATTTCAGGCTGCAATCACGCTCATTCCCATTCATCATCATAATTTTCTGCTTCGACAGTTTGGCTTACGTAAATAATAATAATTTATATAGATACCTATTACTCTCGAAGGCTTAATGATGACATTTTATCTCAGAGGCACAGAATGACACTGTGCCAACAAGTGGGTTGTTTGCCCAGACTCCCTTAGTAACTGATCCAATATTTAACCAGATTTTTTAAGACTTTTGGATATATTTATATTAGTTGATATTTGCCTCAAGATAGCTATAAAATATTGTAAAATATGTAATAATAATACTTAATCCTAACAGTATTTATAGAGGTTTTTTTTACTGTTGACGTACTTTCGGAAGAGTTTAAATAATATTACTACATTTTCTTGGGATCTTTGAAAACTATATTACAACTTATTTTAAGAAATTCTTAAATATATTTTAAACTGCTAAGTTTTAAGGTATTTATATTACCTTATTTGACGTGATTCCGTTTAGAAACCATTCATTTGGGTAATGTCTGATGACTGACTTTTACTAACGTAGTGCTAGGCTTTTATTATAAGGTGGTAAGCCATTGAGAAAATAGTTTAAACACTCACTATTTGCCTAGACAAAGCTATCTTAGCTTATCAGTAATGAATGAGCCGACAATGTTTGGTAGGCAAACATAATAATTCTGTTTGCAGTTTATTTAATAACACTAGTGAAAAAATATAAATATAAAGAGTTTTGTATGCATATTTAGGAATGTAAAATATTTCAAAGTTTTAAAACCATATGTTACCAAAACACAAGTTATTTTTTGTCCCTTAATATATTCATCTTTATCTTCATCATTGATATATACATATTCTTTTAATTTGATTTTCGTAGTTTAGGGTTTAATTTTTTCATTAAATACAGCACAAAACTTATTTAGAAAGTCAAGATTCCCTTGCTGAAGTCGTAGTATTTTTTAAGAACTTCGCAAAAAACCGTTTATGATTTTGAAATTGTATATTTCTCGCATATCCCTTAATTTTTTCGCCGCTTCTGACGTTAGCAGAACTCTGACATATCACTCGGCAGAGAGATGATTTGGCCGGGAATCGCTTGGGCCCATGTGCACTGAGGTAATTAATGGAAACCAAACATTTGCGCAGCCCTAGGTTCACAGCAAGTGCTATAAAGATTAAACGGGGCTTGCTCTCGACAAACTCAAACAAATCGCAATTGGGCGGTAGCCAGGGCGTGGGCGATGGGATCTGCATCCGTATCCAGACCGAAATTTCAGTCTCAAGCCGACGACCAATAAAAAGTAATCTGTTTGCTCGCTCGCAGTTATAGAATCTGCGGTTTTATGGCTATATATACATATCTAAATCACAATTGTGACGGGACACGTACATACAAAAGAGGCCTGTGTACCTAGGCGATGGGAACACTTTCGGGGCAGCTGAAAATTTTCCCATAAAAGCTGCTCTGCTCTGAATTTTCAAAACAATATCGTTCAGCAGTCTTTAAGTCTCGGTTGCAACACAGATCACTCTCATTATGTCGGTTTCGGATCTTATTGGTGCACTCGATGCCATTCCCAAGCTCACCACAGTTCCTAGTTCTAGTGCAAGTGCCCAGGAGTCAGTCTTCCTGGATGCCCCCGAGTGGCTGACGGAGGCGTATCTGCAGGATGCCCTAAGGAAGTACTACAACGACCGCAGGCTCAAGATTACCTGGGTGAAAGTGAATCCTGCCCTGGGCAAGGGCGAGAACTATGGCGGAGTCCTGACCCGCGTAAAAGCTCAGTTTACCCGGAGCGATGGCAGCGCCCAATTGGGTCATTACATTGTCAAGTCCACCTTCGAGGGTAATGACTTTGCTCAAAAAACCATGGAACCCTATGACATATTTAACAGGGAAATGGAGATCTATGAACAAGTCCTGCCCAAACTGAAGGCTCTTCTGCGGGAAATCGGCGACACGGAGCAGATCTTTGCCGAAACCATGGCGGTGGACATTGAGAACTCATCGCTGATCTTTGAGGATCTAAATGCTCGTGGCTTCACCATGCCCGATCGCCTGAAAGGATTGGACATGAAAATCACCCGTTTGGTGCTTCGCAAATTGGCCAAGATGCATGCCACTTCGGCGGTGATGAATGAGCGCGAGAATCATGCCCTGGAGGGCTACGATCGCGGCTTCTTCAACAGGTACACCGACAACTATGCTCCGGCCTTTGTGGGCATGCTCCAGGCGGCAACGCGTCGCGTGGCCCAATGGCCAGGATACGAGAAGTATGCCGCGAAGATGGAGGCTCTGGTGCCCATCTACATGGAGCTGGGAAAGCGCATCTTTGACATTTCACCGGGTCACATAAATGTCCTGGCCCATGGCGATCTGTGGACCAACAATGTCCTGGTCAACTATGACAAGGAAACCGGAGAGCCGCTGGATGCCATCATCATAGATTTCCAGTACACGGTTTGGGGATCGCCGGCTTTGGATCTTTTCTATTTCCTAAACACCTCGCTGGAGTTCGATCTCCACAAGAGCCATCAGGAGGAGCTGATAGCCTACTACTTTGGTGTCTTCTCTGAAACGCTAAAAAAACTGCAGTACCAGACTGCCGTTCCCAGCTTGCATCAGTTCCACCAGCAGATGCTGGAGAAGAAGTTCTATGGTGAGTTTTTGGGGCTTTATGGAAAGGGAATCTAATGAGACTAATCTGGAAGTTATGATTTTATTTCTTCAGCTGCCCACACCTCCATTTCGGTATTGCCCATTCAGCGAAATGTGGAGACTGACAATGCGGATTTCAATGCCTTGATGGAGACCAACCAGCGGGCCTTGAACTTCAAGGATGCCTGTTATAGGAACCCAATTTCCGAAAGGGTTTTGCGAGAGCTCCTGCCAGATTTCGAGGCCGAGGGTTTGTTGGATGCAGATCAGTGAGATCAAACATTTATTTATTTATTTAATGCTAACTAATAGTTATAAACTAAAAGTTAACAAAGGATAATGAGCAATGGCTACCGAGGCCTTCCGCTCTTGAGATCAAACATACAAACACCTGTGTTATATAGTACATATTAGATATTATTACCCATATATTAGACCAATATTGTTGTATATGCTAATAGGTTAGGCAACTGTAAACTCCACTTAAAAATAATATACCTCTTTATAAACAGATAATATTATAATATATTATCAGAAAATGTAGTACAATTTACAATAAATTACAAGTTATTCAAAGAATTTGTGAAAATGATGGGGCATAAACTGGAAAAGCTTATTTTACGGTTTGCTATCGAGGAAATGAAAGGATAGGTTCAATCTATAACTAATCTAATCAGTTTTTTACAGTATAATAATGGCGATAAGAAACTTTAATAATTGGAAAGATACTTTAAGTGTATTGATTATTTTTTTGTTAAAGTACTTGTAAATGAGAACTCCCAAGCATTTGTAAGTGGTTTGAAATGTACAAAGCCATAAGAAAGAACTTTAATATAAATATTGCCTATTTTTGTATAGCAAATGTTTTCATAAATTAAAATTTAAATATAATGAATACCATTATTATTGTTTACATTCTATTACTTTTATCAGATAACTATAAGCCCAACCCCATAACTGATTACAGATAACTTACTGATCAGTAAACAATAATGCGAAAAGCTTTCGCTTGAGCATTCTAAAAGCTCCTGAATTTTGCTTAAAAAGGGCCAAGCCTTCGATCGCCTAACCCATAACCAAGTGCAAGTGCATTCAGAATAGTTATATATTCTAAATACTATATAGACCAAAATGACTGACAAGTTGGATACGGAACAGTTCAATGACGACGAGCTGGAGGCACCTGCTTGGCTCAATGCCCAATTCCTTCAGACGATTCTCAGCACGTACGAAGAGGCCCCAGAGCTGAAAGTGCTCGATCTGAAGATCACACCCGCCAGCTTCCAGGGAGATCACTATGCCAGTGTTATGTTCCGTACCAAAGTGGATTACTCAACTTCGAAGGGAAGGTTCTCCAAGCCGCTGATTGTCAAGACGATGCCAGAGCAGGAGGGCCACAAGAAGGATCTGCTCGCCGAGTCGCATCTCTTCGAAACGGAGATTGGAATGTACTGCCAAGTTCTGCCGGAATTTGAGCGGATCCTTCGGGAGGCAGGAGATGAGGCCAAACTGTATGTTCCCTGTATCTATCACAGTCTGGAGCCACGCCAGATGATGATCTTTGAGGATCTAGTGCCGCAGGGCTACTCGGTCATTCGGGATCGTCCTGTCACAGAGGAGGAAATGAAATGTGTGTTCTCTAAGCTGGCCAAGTGGCATGCGGTCAGCATGAAGGTTATATACGAGCATCCCGACTTCCTCAAGGAGTTTAAGTACGGCCTGTTCGACATGCCCACCATCCAGACGGATCCCTTCATCACCACCGGCATGGGTAGCTTCATCGAAATGCTGGACAAGCTTCCGGAGCTGAGGAAGTACAAGCCGCACTTTGAGAAAATCAAGGACAAGTTCCTTCAGCGCCTTGAGGTGGAGATGCAAGAGTTCCATAAATACCGCCGCAACGACAACTACTATGTCCTGTGCCACGGCGACTTCCATCTGCGCAATATGATGTTCAAGCACAACAAGAAGACGGGCGCCTTCGAGGATGCCATGCTAGTGGACTTCCAAATCAGCAATCTGTGTCCAATTACCGTGGACTTGACCTACTCCATCTATATGTTGATGGAACCGGAGCAGCGGCGGGAAATGGGCAGGGATCTGATCAACTATTACTTAACAGAGCTGGTGGCCACTCTGAAGAGCATTGGGTACAAAGGAGCGCTGCCTACGCAAGCGGGACTCTGGCAGCAGATTCATCAGAATAAGTATTATGGTAAGTTGCGGAAGAATGATTAATTAGTGGTCCCTAATTATTTAATTATCTTTGTCTTTGTAGATTTCTTTTTGATCAGCACGTTCTTGCCTCTGATCTTGGCCATCAAATCGAATAGCTTTAAGATGCACGATCTAATACAAAACCCAGAAACGCGCCAGAAGACCTACTTTTTGGACACTTATGTGAAGGATGTGACTAAGCTTTTGCCCAAATTCGAAAAACTGGGTTACTTCAAGGGGCTTTAATATATATATATTTGGTTTTTTCTAATGAATTCACTAACATAAAGCTCCAAATAAATTCTGTAATTAGTTGTAAGTAAACCTTTTGATTTGAAACAACTTGTATTTGTAGATATATTATTCAACATACTCAAGAGACAATAACAGCGTAATAATAATCTAATTTGTGAAGTGTTAATTTTAATCAATAAATATATATTACACAAGACACCTACCTACCTGGTTATGGTTATCTGTCATAACAAAGCGCTTAAGTTGAGTGAATGCTTAAGGAAAACAAGTTCCTTAGTTTCAAGATCAGCGGGTCAAAAAATCTATTTTGCAAGCTCTACAAGAACGTTTGGTAAAGTTCTCTCCATTTACATACTTTTTTTAACAAAAAGGTTATATAAATAAAACTCAAAAGAGCTTTTAGGAACATGATAGAGATAGAGGATTTACCAGAATGTTCTTATAGATTCTAAAACTCATTATGAAGGATCGTTTTCAGTTCGATAAGATAACAAATTTCACCAAAATTTAAAGTAAAAGGAAATATTTTTAAATCTACTGAAACCCTTGCGAAAAGCTTGCAAAAAGCTTGCTATATCTCTTTTAAAACAAAGGCACTTGTAGACTCGGCTCTCATAACACGTTTGCTCTGTCGACTGAGTAGTTCTAGCTACCACAGGTGTTTCGATAAGTATAAAAAAAATGACGGACATCGTAGATACGGAACAGTTTAATGCCGATGAGCTACAGCCGCCAGATTGGCTGAATTCCGAGTTTATAACCGAAGTTCTCAGCAAATACGAAAAGGTTTCCGAGTTGAAAGTAACCGATCTGAAAATCACTCCGGCCAGTGCCCAGGGCGATCATTATGCCAGTGTTATGTTCCGCGCCACGGCGGAGTATACCACTGCAAAGGGAAGCTTCTCCAAACCGCTGATCATCAAAACAATGCCCGAGCAGGAGGGTCACAAGAAGGATATGCTGAGTGATTCGCACATATTTACGACGGAAATCGGAACTTACTGCAAGGCTCTGCCCGAGTTTGAGAGGATATTGCGGGAGGCAGGAGATGACACCAAACTGTATGTGCCCTGCCTGTATCATAGCGTGGAACCGCGGCAGGTGATGATCTTCGAGGATCTAGTGCCGCAGGGCTACTCCGTCATCCGGGATCGTCCTGTCACGGAGAAGGAACTGAAGAAGGTCTTCGCCAAGCTTGCCAAATGGCATGCAGTCAGCATGAAGGTCATCAATGAGGTAACAATACTGCATTTTTAAATTGGACTTCTGCTAATTCTTTCACTCCATTAGAAACCCGAATTCCTAAAGGACTTTAAATACGGCATCTTTGAAATGCCCACCATTGAATCGGATCCCTTTGTGACCAATGGCATGGCTGGTTTCATAGAAATGCTGGACCAAAAACCAGAATTTAGGAAGTATAATCCGCACTTTGAGAAAGTCAAGGATATTTACTTAAAGCGTTTGGCTGATGAAATGCAGGAATATCGCAAAAATAGGAGGGATGATAGTTACTATGTCCTTTGCCACGGAGACTTTCATTTGCGCAACATGATGTTCAAGGAAAACAAGCAAACGGGTGCTCCCGAGGATGTCATGCTGGTGGACTTCCAGTTCTGCAATATCTGTCCCATTACCGTGGACTTGACCTACTCCATTTATATGTTGATGGAGCCGGAACAGCGCAGGGAAATGGGCAAGGACCTGATCCACCATTACTTTACAGTTTTGGTGGAAACTCTAAAGAAGATTGGCTTCAAAGCAGAAATGCCAACCGAAGCAAGATTGTGGGAACAAATTCATCGCAATCGTTATTATCGTAAGTAAATGATATTATATCTAAACTCCTTAAGCTAATAATAATTGAAACCCTTTCAGATTTTTTCATGATAAGCACTTTGCTCCCTATGATGCTGGCCCTTAAATCAAATGCCCTAAAAATGCATGATCTGATCCAGGATCCAGAAACTCGCCGCAAGTCTTACCTCTTGGAGAATTATGTCAAAGATGTGGCAATGCTTTTGCCCAAATACGAAGAGCTGGGCCACTTTAAGGATCTTTGATATATACTCTAAGTTATTCTTGTAACTATTTCATGTATAGAAAATATATTTATTAAATAGCCTATCAATTTGTGCAAAATTTCGATAAAAACGTTTATCTTGTGGTTTTTACATTAGTACAAATTGTAAATAAACCTTCAGTGATAAAAGCAAGATATGAATTTGAAGGTTTCCTTTGTTGTTCCTATTGTATAGAAATATTAGTCTTTTTATACCCTTGCAGGGTATTATAATTTCAGTCAGAAGTTTGCAACGCGGTGAAGGAGACGTTTCCGACCCTATAAAGTATATATATTCTTGATCAGCAACAACAGCCGAGTTGATCTAGCCATGTCCGTCTGTCCGTCTGTCCGTTTCTACGCAAATTAGTCCCTCAGTTTTAAAGCTATCTGAATGAAACTTTGTATATAGTCTTCTATATACTCTCACTGCTATATATGTCGGAACGGGCCGGATCGGACGACTATATCATATAGCTGCCATACAAATGTTCGAAAAATTTTTAGAAAAAAAATTATAACTTGGCCGTTTTTCAATATTATTGCATCATTTTTGGGATATAACCTTTTTTTATTATTCCAGAATTTTGGTAAAAATTTTATGAAAATTGGACCACTATATCTTATAGCTGCCATAGGAACGATAGGGAAAGTAATAGAAAAAATTATAACTTCGTTGTTTTCAACGTATTTTCATCTACTCTGAGATATGAGCTTCACTTATTATTATAGAATTTTGGTATAAATTTCATAAAAATCGGACAACTATATCTTATAGCTGCCATAGAAGCGATCGGTAAATGTATAAAATATATAAAGCTGGGAATGTATAACAGTAACTGTCAAACTGTAAACATAATAGGTATAGGTAAAATATTATCAAACTCTGTTTAGTGTCTGTTTTCGGCATTATAATTTATGATATAAATATGAAAACCAATCTGCAAGGGTATACAAACTTCGGCGTGCCGAAGTTAGCTTCCTTCCAGGACCATAAAGTATTTAAATTCCCGAAATGTTTTATATTTTTATATTTTATATTTAAAGATATCACAATTTACTATTCAATTCAATCATAAATACAAACCTGACTTGGGTATGTTTTTGTGATTAAAAAAAAAGTTGTATAACTTAATTATTTTTTTGCAGACTTCTTTTTGGTTATTACATTTCTGCCAAGTGTTTTTGCAGCCCACGAAAAGGCCTTTAAGCTGGATGATGACACAAGGAAAAGGTCATACTTTTTACCCAGAACCATTGCAGATTTTAGTAAAATTTTGACAAATTTCGAAAAGCTAGGCTACTTTAATAGTAAACAAAGTTTTGTTTATTGAAGGTATAAATAAACATTAAAATTGCCTTAATTACAAAGCTATAATGGTCCGTTATATTAAAAAAAGTATATTTTTGATTGGTTTAACCTTGTTTGTTTTTTTTTTTTTTTGTCATGCTGTTTAAGGGAAATCTGTAGGTACTCACGAAAGCTTCTATTGTTTAAACTATTGCTTACTTGAAAGCTTTTGGCTTTGCTAACGTTCATGCTTACTAGCCAGAATTGGTAACATTAATAGAATGACAATAACTTTTGCAATGCATTTTGTATTCAAGAACTCACAGCGACATTTATTTTTCAGAATTTTGAATTATATATATTTTATTTTTTCTATATATATTTATCCATATGATGATTAGAGATAATTATTCCTTCTATTATGCCAGCGTTTATATGATTTCTTTCGATGATCTACGCGTACTTTAAACAAAAACAGAATGTGTTGATAGAAAAAGCTTTATTAAAGATAAACTCTCTCTTTGACATTGTGTAAAATGAGCAGAATAGTAATTGTTCAGTTCTCCGGAAAGCTATAGATCGGAATGCAACAACATTTAGTCACGGAGAAATTCGATGCTTTAACCGCTGTAATGGCTTAACTCTGAGTTAGTAACCAATCTACGTAAAGTGATGATCTTTGAGCATCTGATAATGTTGAGGAGCTTAAGATTGTGTTCTCCAAATTGGCCAAATGTCATGTTGTTGGCATTAAACTTCTGAATGAGCTATTGAAATAGACTTTAACTTAAGCTCTAGCTAGCTCAATCGAATTTCTGTATACTTAAAATATGGCTTTGAGGACATGTTTCCCTTTTGACCGATCCTATAGTGACTGCTGGAATACCCAACTTCCTTATAATGCTGAACCAGTTTCCAGATCTAACAAAAATATATAATATTAATAATACGATTATAGAATAAATTGTAGGCTGACTTAAAGCCCAAGATTACCCACTTATCTCAGCAAACAAATTATTCGCCAGTTCATTGACAATTGTTTTAATAAAACCAGGAAATGTTTGCTATCGCTGGGGACTACTTCAATTAGAAGCTCATTGTCTAGGTTTTATCAAATATTGTTTATGGTTGTTTTTAATCAGAGAAAAGTTCAACCAACTACCTAGTAGTCGTAGTCTCGTTAAAGCTTTTGATTCAACCTGTGCTATAGTCATGCTTACTGAACAAACTTAAACAAAATATCATGGCGAGAATCTAAACTGCGTTTTTGCCATGATAACCAACATGGGAAAATGTATTATTTGTTTGGTTTGCTAGTGGTGAAATGATTTTAATTAATTTTAGGATTGGCCACAAAATTTATAAAAGGTTATATTTTTTAATTAATAATGAAATAAAGAATAAACTTTCCACTGAGCTTTTTACTGATACCATAATTATAATATTTTGATAATTATAATATTTTGGATTCCATTGTTCCATTCCTGTTCCATTTTTCCTTCTATACTGACGGCTTTTATAAAACTTATTTTTATAATAAAAAATTAAATAAAGGATAAACCTTCTACTGAGCTTTCTAAAGCTTCTATCGATAAGATAGTCTCTATTTCACACTAAATCGTAAAATAACCGAAAAGCTTTAAAAGACTTGCCCAAAAGCTCTTATTATAATGTTTAAAAAGAGCGAACCCCATTCAGTTTTCACCCATAACCAGATCGTAAGTTAATCAGACTTGTTCACCGCCAGAAAAATGCCAGACAACGCAACAGATACGGAATTCAACGCCGACGAGCTGGAGGCGCCCTCTTGGCTGAACGCCCAGTTCATACAGAAGGTTCTCAGCGAATCGGAGAAATCACCGGAATTGGTGGTCACCGATCTAAAAATTACTCCGGCCAGTGCCCAGGGCGATCATTATGCCAGTGTTATGTTCCGGACCACGGCGGAGTACACCACCTCAAAGGGAACCTTCACCAAGCCGCTGATTCTTAAGACAATGCCCGAGGCGGAGGGCCACAAAAAGGATATGCTCTCCGAGTCGCATTTGTTTTCAACGGAGATTGGAATGTACACCAAGGTCCTGCCTGAATTCGAGAGGATATTGCGAAAGGCGGGTGATAATACCAAGCTGTATGTGCCCTGCATTTATCACAGTTTGGAGCCGCGTCAGGTGATGATCTTCGAGGATCTGGTGCCGCAGGGCTACTCTGTGATTCGAGGTCGTCCAGTCACGGAGGAGGAACTGAGTTTCGTCTTCACCAAGCTGGCTAAATGGCATGCAGTCAGCATGAAGGTCATGAATGAGGTGGGTTTTAGCTTTTCACGTTACAAGTAAACAAAGATAACTTTTTTTTATTATTATTCCAGCAACCTGAGTTCCTAAAGGAGTTCAAGTATGGTCTAATTGAGATGCCCACTCTTATGAAGGACCCCATGGTGACCACTGGAATGGCTAACTTTGTTAATTTCCTGGACAAGACACCGGAACTCAGCAAGTACAAGCCGTACTTCGAGAAGATTAAAGATAGCTGCCTTGACAAAATGGCGAATGTTATGACGGAGTACCGAACAAACTTCCAACCCGATGGATACTACGTGCTTTGTCATGGGGACTTCCACCTAAGGAACATGATGTTCCGGCATAATAAGGACACTGCGGCGTACGAGGATGTAATGCTGGTAGACTTCCAGATCTGCAATCTATCTCCCATCACCGTGGACCTCACCTACTCCATCTATATGCTGATGGAGCCGCAGCAGCGTTGGGATCTGGGCAAAGATCTTATCAATCATTACTTCTCTGTTTTGGAGGAAACCCTAAAGAAGGTGGGCTACAAGCCCAAGATGCCCACGCAGGCAGGTCTTTGGGAACAGATTCGCCGCCACAAGTACTACGGTAGGTTTGTAATTATTTTTACTAAGTATTAATAATTAATTTATAACTAAATTGTTTCCAGACTTCTTCCTCATGGCCACCTTTTTGCCCATGATGCTAGCCATCAAGCAAAATGCTTTGAAAATGCATGACATTATTCAGGTTCCGGAAACCAGAGAGAAATCCTACTTTTTCGATTTTTACGTGGAAGACATCAAGCATCTTCTGCGAAAATTTGAGGAATTGGGCTACTTCAAAGATCTGTAGATATGTGTAAGTCCATAAATGAAAGACAGTTGATTATGTCAAAGGCGGAAAAAGCAGGTTTCTGGCTGAGCCGATGTTAGCTAATTGTTTTTTGTACGTGCCCAAAAAAGCTCTTCATAGTTATGTTATCTCTACTATAAGTATTTAGGAATTTGTAGTATATAGATTTATATTTTATAAAAAGTAGTTAAATTTATAGGATACGCTGTATGTGTTAATTTTATAAATAAATCAACTCGGCTTTTTGTAAAACGTTTAACAATGTTTGCTTATTTATTTGTGTGCCAGAAATACTCATGGAAAAACATAGCTTACTCTAAGTGGAAGCCCGAAATACTTTTTAAAGAATGTATAATGCTCAAGTGCTCTCTCTCTATGCCTTAAAAATCCAGGAAACCCGATAGCTCGAACTCCTTGATGGTTCTCTGCAGGAAGGCCCGGTACTTGGGATTCTCCACATTCTCCCGCCGGAACTGATCCCCGCTCTCTGTGCGCGAATTCAGATCCTCCAGGTTCTCAAAGCCAGCGCCCTCTCGGAAAATCAGGGGCGTTAGACAAGTGGCTCCAATCACACCTACAAAAAATTGAAATATTTAATTATTAACTTCTTGCAAAGTTAAGGAAAAACCTACCCATCAAACTGGTGTTGATCAGCTCTATGTGAATCTCCTTGAGGCTGGGAATGTGTCCCTGGTAGTTGAGCTTCTCCAGGGTTTGCTGGAGCACCCTTTGGTACTCCCTGACAATGTACTTGAAGTGAACCTTGCGCACGTTCTCATTTAGGGATCCGTAAAGGAAATAATTAAGATCAATAGCTGGAGATCCTACATAGGACAGCTGGTAGTCCAACTGAAAAATAAACATAATATTTGGTGGTATATTTCCATTATTAATAGTAGTCCGACTTTACCGTAACAACATCATCCGGCTCCTTGGTCTCATTGTTCACATGGAACATAAGATTATTAATCCACAAATCCGTGAGGTTGAAAACCCTAAACTCCTTGCCCGTAGCCTCGAACATGGCCAGGGCATTCTGCAAAACATTCTCCGCCAGCTTAAACATCTTTTCGGTTATCTCCTCGTAACCCTTCCAGTGGGCCACCTCCTCGGCTACACAACGAATGTTTACAGGGAAAAAAGTGAGAAAGTCGCGGCGGTCGGGATTGCGGGAAATAGGAGCCTCGTCAAAGAACTCCAAGACCTGGGGACTCTCCTGGGCAATGATGGCACTGCAGGCATGCAGCTTGGCCACCTTCTCTATGGTGGGCAGCACATAATCCAAGTTGAGCAGGCGACCCCTCTCAAAGTTCTCAAACCCGGAGAGTTGCAAGTCCTCCAGGATGAGGAAGGGTTCCGGGGACTCCGTCGTATAATAGCAAATGGGTGCAATTTTGGTTTGATCTCCGATGGACTGCAGAAGAGCTTGCACCCGTGGCAGTACCTCCTTGTAGGCCAGAATCTCGCGCTTGAAGAGCTTGCTTCGCTGGGCAACTGCGCCAGTCTGTCCCTTCGGATGATCCTTCACAATCACCGAGAACTTGCTCTTGGGCGATGAGCCCCTTTGCAGATTGAAGCTGGCCCGGTGCATCTCACTGGCAAATCCCGCCGCCTGGTCACCCACTTGGGCACTCTTCACCAGAAGCTCGCTTACCACCAGCTGCTCCTCCTTGAAGTGCTCCTTGAGGACATCCTGCAGGAACTCTGCGGTAAGCCACTCCGGTGCCTGATAATTCTTCTTGCCGGTTCCCATTTTGTGTGTAATTTTTGTAATTATTCCAAATTTATTTTTTCCAAGTCACCTGACTGGGAGTAACTGAGCAACTGGCTGGCGGCTCTGGCAATCGAATCAAGAGTGTGGAACAGCCGGCGGAACATGTGACGACTGGGAGCCAGATAAAGCTTTAATGGGAAAGCTCTCTCTGTTGTCAGCTTTGAGCTGGCTTATCAGCTGATAGGGTGTGCTACATAAATAACAATAAATAGTACAGGAGCCGTGTCTGGGGGCACAAGTTTAGACTCTTATTAAAAAAATTTAAAAGATTTTTTAGAGTTATCATTGATAATTTCTTAAACAAATATTATTAAAACTTCTTAAGTGTTGTAAAAAATATTCCTTTGTAATACTAATATAAGAAAATTATTTAAGTTCTCAAAAAGGTAGAACACAAGTTTTATGAATAAATCCTGAAAAATATACAGAACTATAAATATACAAATTCTTTACAATTTTAGAAAGAGGTAATATGGTAAACATCTTTCTTTAATTTGGTTGCCAAACTAAGCGATATATTCCCTTAAAAACACATAGAACTAATGATTATTTATTGCATATCGACTTCAATTTAAATGCAAAGAAAACAATTACAGATACGTCCCTGGCTCTTACTGAAAATGTGTTAAATACATGTGGGAACAATAAAGAGCATATGGCATTGGAACCAATTTTGGGCTGAATGTGGAACGCGTTTTGTGGATTTCGTTAAAGTATATAGTTACCATATCTACGGTATATTATTATTATTAACACGTACAAATACGAATAGTAGAGGAAATATTAATAATGGTTTTGATTGTTTCCATTTATGAAGTACAAATATTATTTAAGATTTTAAATGCTCTTCAATCAATTAGGAATTTAAGTGCTTTATCAATTTATAGAGTAATATTTACAGAATATTATTTAGAACTGTATAACATATCTGATTTTTTGGCTTATTCATTATAATAATTAAATTTATATTATACAAGAAATATATGCATATAATAATAAAATTGCAAGTATCTCTATTGTGTCAATTCTTTTATTTAACACTTTTTCTTTTTTGATTTGTTTTGTTATTTGCTTTATTACTGTATTCAATGGTGATAAACAAAACGTGATCTAAATCGGGGCACCTGTAGTGATAAGCCTACAGATTGCATGAGTTGACAACTGTCTCCTGTGTTTGATTAAATTATTATCACAAAAATGAAAAAGTCAATTGAGATCAGGAGAGAGAGTAATAATTATATGTACAAAGAGCACTATAACTTGTACTCTCTTTGATTAATATATCTTTTATATTTATACATCTTCATTACCTATTTTTTTTTCCAAAATTTGTAGTTAGAAGCTTCAACAGTTCTATAAGAACCCTGTTTTACTGGGTATCCCTTTAAATATGATAAGCAACTTTCCAAATAAAATAATAAAACACACTTCATTTCTTTGGCTTATTTTCTTTAAGAAATATTAACATACTTTGTTGCTAGCTAAACAAAAGATAATTCATTAAGATAGTCAACGTTGCCGCAAAGGCGCTTCCATTAGAGATAAAGATACAGTAGGAATAGATACATTACTGTTCCGGTTTTCAGAATAATTCGCATATATGTTAAATTAAATAGGAAATTGTTAAAAAATCCTTAAAAAGACTTTTTAAGTAGAAGTAGAGTATCATTTAAAGTCCAGAATGCCACGCCTGTAGAGGAAGGGGAATATACTGAGCACAGACCTCACGTAGAGGGGATTCGTGTAGACCTTGGACCGGAAGCAATCCCCCTCCTCGCCAGGCTGCGTGAGCTTCACTAAACTAGCCTCCGTGTCCACGGGCAGCAAGATGAACACCAAATGTGTAAAGGTTGTAAAGTAACCTGAGGGATACAGTTATTATTAATATAAATAAATACAAAAACCAAAACTAAGCTTACCCCAAAATCCGTATTTGATCATTTTCATGTGCAGCTCCCTGAGCATGGGCATTCGTTCGCCGTAATTGAGGATTTTCAGGCAGCGCACCAGATGACTGTGATATATCCTGATGAAACAATCAAATTGCTGGATTCTTATACTATGCTTGGCCGAGCAAATAATCAGCTCCCACAGATCCTGGGCAGGACTGCCCCACTTGCACATCTGGAAGTCCACGAAGCGCAGCTGGTTAATCTCCCCAGACTGAGTATAGCTAAGCATTATGTTACTCGACCAGAAATCTCCATGATTCAGGACCTTGAACTCCTGCGGATTATTGTTGAAGCAGCGGGCATAGGATTGCACAAACTGATCAGCCGTGGGCTAGGAAAAAAAAGATATCGAGATCATCATTCCTTATGCATAAAATATTATTTCAAAGACTCACTATTCGATTCACATACTGCTCGTGATCGGTGAGACCCCAACTGGCCATAGCCGCCTTGTAGCTCTGGACACGCGCTTGGTACGACTTAGATTTGTTGTAGTTGGCGGGCAGGTAGATGCGCTGAAAGTCTTCGGGAAAGGGTCCATTCCGTTGATGCCACACTGCGCTGGCCGCATGGAACTCGGCCAGCTTCTCCAGGACACGTTGCATCTGGGCCATGTCAAATCCCTTGAGGCGACTTATATTGCCATACTTCTTGGTCCTCAAGTCCTCCTGCACTAGGCAGATCCTTCCATTGAGCTCTTCCGCCCAATGGCACTTGGGAGCAAACTTCACCGTAAGTCCGGCCTCCTCGTAAAGCTGCTCCAGCTGCGGAATTATGGTCTCGTACATCATCTTCTCCTTGGGAAAGATATTTAGAGTGTTGACAAAGCCACCATTTCCGCGGACATCGTCCAGCATGGTCTTTACTATGTAAGATTTTTGTTGGGAGAAGCCATCTATCAGGAGGGAGATATATATTAATGTAAAATATTCTTTAAATTTGTAACTCCCTCGTTTTAAGTGAGAATTACTGCTTCGAGCTGTGAATTTTTATTTATTTCGGCTGTGGTTACCTTTCATCTCTATATCGATGACGATGCGCATCAGCAGCGAGGTGTAGGTCTCCCCGGGAGGCGTGGCCGGAATGATCGAGAGGTTGAGGATGCGGCGAAAGTCCCGAAACTCCCGCTTCAATAGCCGCTTGAAGTAGGCCTCGTTGATCCAGCTGGGAATGCTCACATCGTTGGTGGCGCAGAACTTGTTGCTATTATCGGGCATTCTGGCTGAGACTCCGATTCGGACTGGCACTGGGATTCCGCCGGAGTGAGCTCACTGCGGCACTGCCCTCTCGTAGCTCTCGGTCCGAAGTGTGCGCCGCAACTGTTTTGTTGCCTTATCGAGAATGTTTTTCTTGTTCAAAGCGAGACAAGGCGATGTTATTTTTATATATTTTACAGCACGCACAACGAGACGTAATGCCGAGGTGGGTGAGGTGCGCATTTAGTTATCTGCCACTCTGCCAATCGCCCGTCTAACTGGTTCCCCAACTGTCCGGACACTGAGCATCGCCGTCGTCGACGACGCATTTCTGTGCTGGCCCAAAGACTCTCTCGCCGACTGACAAGTGGGTAGAGCTTTGCTTTTATATATTTGTATTTATAAAATGGTTTTTGGGGCTGGTCAAGCAGTGCAACGGCAGGCGCCGTGCTTATCAACGGTCTGTGATGGGAATACCTGATAAGCTGGACAGGGGGAATGCTCAACCTGGAGCACCAGAGCACTGAGAGGAAGCGAAAAGCTCAAGTGGGGCGGTTTTGATATCGTTTATAACACACCAGACGTCTATCAGAGTCAATTGGCTAAAAATATATTCGCTATAATATATAGTATTTGCTGTTATTATTTTTTAATTTAATAAGAGTTCCTTAGTTAAGATTTATTTTTATTAAATAGTATATATATATTGAAATATTTTCTTGAGTTTCTATTTGCCCCACCTCTTAATTTTTTATCAGATAGTTGATAAAGATAAGTTAGGTACGTGACATTAGGGATCTGATTACACTTATCTCTTATCAGAATAAATTTTTAAAATTGTACTAGAACTCTATATAGCTACCCCTAGGTCAACTTAGCTTGTTTTCCACAACCTCCAACTCAAAGACCAGCTGAAAAACTATTCCAAGGTCTTCCGCTTTCAATTGAACTCGAAATAACCAGAATCAATATTCGCACACAATTTATTAAAACGCTTCGACTGCGAGCTGCACTTCGATCGTCACGATCGTCATTGCTAGCTAGTCATCGTAGTCTTCAAAGTTGAAGAGCCCGCGGTTGCTGTAAAAGGGATACAGCTCTCTGATAACCTCCACGTAGGCGGGATTAGTGTACATCCGGGTCCGAAAATTCCGACCCACCTCGTTATTGGACATAATGGTGTGCAAATTGCTTTCCTTGCTGACGTGCAGTAAGTGGGCGGTTAGGTGATTCATAACGCAAAAGAAGGCTGCCGGAATTTAACAATAAAAAAATTATAGTATAAAAATTATAAATTATAATATATTAAATTAAATTTTCAACTCACCATACAGCGTGTTATTCTTCTTGTAGAGGGAAGACTGTAGGTCCCTCAGTTGTGGATACGGCTTCTCATACTTAAGTATGTCCAAGCACTCGATGAGATATTGCCAGTAGATTCTCACAATATTGTCGAACTCCTTGATGCGCAACCCTTTTTCCGCAGAGATGGTAATCATCATCAGCAGATCCTGGGCAGGACTACCCCATTTGCAAATCTGAAAGTCCAAAACGTAAGCTTCCTGAAGATCTCCTTTTTCACCGTATTTGTAGAGGAGATTTGTGGCTGAAAAGTCACCATGAGTCAGGACATTGAAGTCCTTGGGGTCCACATTAAGAGATTCTAAACAGACTTTGGCATACTGATCGGGAGTGGGCTGAAAAGTAAATAACTTACAAGGAGTTTCAAGATTTTTGGAGTATGGAACACATACAAAATTCCTGAGATATTCCTCATCCATGCCCCAAGTCGTCATGGCTGCCTTGAAGTCAGGAGCCTTGACATTGAAGCCTCGCATGCTGTGCTGAATGTTGTCCTTCTTAGCGAATCCATGTTCAAAGTCCACGGGATAGGGACCATGACGATCCTTGTAGACCACACTGGCAGCATGGAGCTCAGCCAGTTTTCGGAGGGACAATCGCATGTGCTCCATATCGATGCCTTTGGTTCGATCCACACTCTGATAGCCCTGCGCTGACAGATCCTCAAAGATGAAGTAGAGATTTCCCTCCTCCTCGCCGATTTCGAGGCACTTTGGATTCAGCTGGACGGGATGTCCTGCCTCGCGGTAGAGTTTCTCGAATGCGGGCAGATAAGTGGAGTACATTTGCTGTTCCTTGTGATAATAGCGAAACTCATTCATTCCCTTGCCACCTTTATCTGAATCCAGAGCAGTCTTCATCACATATGATTTTCTCTTTTTAGTGCCATCTACAAAAAGTCAGCCTTTTGTAGTGTTTTTTACTTTCGGAACTCACTAAATTTCTCACCATTCAGTTCCAGATCCAAATAAACTCGCAGCATGACAGAGGTGAAGTTACCACCAGGTGGTACGGCAGCCACAGGAGTAAACTGCAGAATCCTGACATAATCAGGCTCATCCTTGGCCAGCAAAGGTTTTAGTTTGGACTCGTTTAACCATTTCGGAATAACGAGACTCTCGTTGGGGTTCTCGATCTTTTCGGCAAGCGACATGATATTGAAGTGAGTTGAGATTCAGGGAACACCACGTCGACTTTATCATGGAGCGAGATATCATATCTAGAGATTATTATATGCCAAATTATATGGTCATCATAATACCGTCTCACATATGTATGTACCCCTTTACTAGGACTTACTTATGTAGATAGCTTTAAAGATTTAAAATATTACGATGTATGCTGGTTCCAAGAACCACTTAAAGTAGAATAAGAGGTAGTTTCTTATTTTTTTTTTTATTTATTTGGTGTTACTCTCCTTATAAGCCTCTTAATTTGGCATTAGCATTACCCCTATAAAGGGATTACAACCTACAAGTCTAATCAAGTAGACTCGAGAGTTAAAATCGTACTGATAAGATAAACATGCTGTCGTAAACAGTTTTTACAGAATATCACACTTCATAGTCTTCAAAGTTTAAAATTCCGCGATTGTAGAGGAAGGGATATAGATCCTTCATCACACCTCCTATCGCGGGGTTGGAGAGCATACGAAATCGAAGGCTTTCTCCCTCTTCTGTTTCCGCGGACAAGTTGTGCAGACTGCTGTCCTTGTCAGTGGGAAACAGAATTATGGGCAGGTGACCCATTATGCTGAATAAAACTGCAGGAAATTATTTGTTTAAGTGAGAATCGGATCACAATTTCACAGAGCTTACCATAGAACGAATGGTTCTTCTTGTACAAAGACCTATGTAGGTCCCTTAACTGGGGCAAAGGCTTCTTGAACTTCAGCACCTTAAGGCATTCGATCAGGCGATCCCAATAGATTCTCACAAAATTATCAAACTCCTTTAAGCGAAGGTCATTGGCAGGCGAAAGGATAAGGAAGAAGAGCAGATCCACAGCGGGACTGCCCCACGTTGTTATCTGGAAGTCGATGAGGATGAGCTTGTCCAGGGTACCATCAGGAAGATAGCTGCTCATCAGGTTGCTGGACCAGAAGTCGCCATGATTAAGGACATTGAATTCACTGGGATCCAAATCCAGGGTACTTAGACACTGCGCCCAAAATTGTTCCGTGGTAGGCTGAGAATAATATAAATATAAAAAAAAACCCTAAGATTGATTTACAACTTCCACTTACAAATGCCTTGACATATTTCTCGGCGTCCTTCAAACCCCAGGTAAGAATGGCTTTCTTGAAAGCATTCCTTCTAATATTAAATAAATCTACATGGAACTTCTTAACTTCTGGCTTACGGGTGACGAAACCCTCAAAGAAATCCTTGGGATATGGACCATGCTGCTCCTCGTATACCGCACTGGCTGCATGATACTCCGCCAATTTGTGCAGCGACTTTGTCATGTGCTGCATGTCCAGGCCCTTGGTACGATCCATGTTCTTGAATCTTTTCACTGCAAGATCTTCGAAGATAAAGTAAATGTCCCCATTCCGCTCCTCAGTGTGCAGGCACTTGGGCGCCAATTGTATATCCCATCCTACATCCTTGTAAAGTTCTTCAAAAGCTGGTAGATATGTCTTGTACATCTTGGCCTCTTTGGGAAAAAGGCCAAAGTCGTTGATGTCACTGCCTCCCCGCTCATCCGGAAGCATTGTCTTGAAGATGTACGTCTTTGTTTTGATAGTTCCATCTGGAGAAGAAGAGATAGTTTTGGGCATAGTAGAATTATACAAGGTAGTCCACTTGGAAAAAATAAGCCCTAGTTCGGCTCATCAAAGTGTGCGTGAGACGGGTATAGTCTCAAAGTTTGAGTGAAATGTCAATAGTATGTGTGTTAAACACACTATGTTTATAAGATTGTACATTGGGGCTTAAATTGTTCAATCTCTTTAAAGTTGTTGTTGAGGCAGCTCGTCAATTTTATTTTGGTTTTTCTATCATCGGCAACCGTCTCCAGGGCAATTTTTTTTAAACGTTTGTGCCACAAAAATTGCAGTAAGACATTTTATTTTTATTCTACCCTTGCAGGGTATTATAATTTCAGTCAGAAGTTTGCAACGCAGTGAAGGAGACGTTTCCGACCCTATAAAGTATATATATTCTTGATCAGCATCAACAGCCGAGTCGATCTAGCCATGTCCGTCCGTCTGTCCGTTTCTACGCAAACTAGTCCCTCAGTTTTAAAGTTATCTGAATGAAACTCCGCATAAAGTCTTCTATATACTCGAAACGGGCCGGATCGGACGACTATATCATATAGCTGCCATACAAATGTTCGATAAATTTTTAGAAAAAAAATTATAACTTGACTGTTTTTCAAAATTTTTGCATCATTTTTGGGATATGGCCATTTTATGTTATTCCAGTATTTTGGTAAAAATTTTATGAAAATCGGACGACTATATCTTATAGCTGCCATAGGAACGATCGGAAAATGAATAGGAAAAAAATATAACTTCGTTGTTTTTCAACATATTCTTATATACTTTTAGAAATGAGCTTCTTTTATTATTTCAGAATTTTGGTATAAATTTTATAAAAATCGGACAACTATATCATATAGCTGCCATAGAAGCGATCCGTAGATGTAGAGAAAATGTAAAGCTGGGAATGTAAATCTGTAACTGTCAAACTGCAAACATAATAAGTATAGGTAAAATGTAATGAAACTCTGTTTTGTGAGTGTTTTCAGTATTATAATCTATAATATAAACATCAAAACCAATCTGCAAGGGTATACAAACTTCGGCGTGCCGAAGTTAGCTTCCTTTCTTGTTTTTTTATTAACTCAGATTGACAGGAGTAAAATTTGTACACACAATCTACTCAACCCATTGAGTTTATCTCAATGAATAAACACGAACTGTCAAAATAAGCCCTAAAACTCGAACATTTGGGACCAGACTAGACTACCTTGTATAATTCTACTATGGTTTTGGGTTAGTAAAGAAATTAAATAACTTCACCAATTATACTTATATAAATAAAATGTGGAAAGGTGTCAACAACATTATCAAGTTGTTTCTAAATAAAGTACATTGCATATAATTATCTCCAACTTACCCTTCATTTCCAATTTAATGTAAATCCTTAGCATGGTCGAGGTGAAGTTCTCGCCTGGTGGAATCGCCGCCACAGGCGTAAATTTAAGGACCTTTACATGATCCGGTTCGTCCTGAGCCAGCACCTTCTCAAAGTACTTCTCGTTGATCCAATCGGGGATGATCAGATGCTCGTTGGGATTCACTATCTCATCAGTCATAGTTCCGTTCTAGAAGCTTCTCTAAAATGAACCTCTCACTACACCTGCTAGTCGAGAACTAAATTATTTACAAAGGTTCGCTCAGGTTTTATAGGGCCTCTCGGGTATCGTTATCAAAAGTGAATTTCGTTATGTGAGGAACTCATTCAAGTGGCTCAGCTGTCTTATAAGTAATTAAAAATAATATTATGTCAATCATTCGATAATACTTGATTATAATTAACAAATATTTCTATAATTTTTTCTTTAATTATTTCCTATTTCTAGTTTGTAATGAGTTACAAACTTTGGCTTGTGATAAATTAAATGGCTAATAAAAACTATTTTAAAAACAGTTTCAGAGATACTTTTAATTGCGGAAAATAACTGATTTGATATTTATCTGGAGACTATAGGTAATTTAAACCTTTGCCTTGTCCAGGTAACACTCAACATGACACGAGTCTCTTATTTTTCGCACTCAATAATAAACTTTGTTCCGTATTACTTATCTACAATTTATTGGCAGCTATCAACTTGACAAATATCACATCACACATCGTAATCTTCGTAGTTCAGAATACCTCTGTTGTAGAGGAAGGGGTATAGATCCTTCATGACGCTCCCAAAGGCGGGATTGGAGAGCATACGCAGTCGAAGGCTTTCTCCCTCTTCTGTTTCCGCGTTCAAGTTGTGCAGATTGCTGTCCTTGTCGGTGGGAAATAGGATTATGGGCAGGTGATTCAAGAGACTGAAGAAAGCTGCAGAAGAATATTTGTTAGAAATTAAAAATTAACACCTAAATCCAGAATATACCGTAAAAGGAGTGCGTCTTCTTGTACATGGAACTCTGAAGATCCCTGAGCTGAGGCAAAGGCTTCTTGAACTTCAACACCTTAAGGCATTCGACTAGGCGGTCCCAGTAAATCCTTACAAAGTTCTCGAACTCCTTCAAGCGCAAATCCGTGGCAGCCGACAGGATGATGAAGAAGAGCAGGTCTTTAGCCGGACTGCCCCACATAGTTATCTGGAAGTCGATGAGAATGAGCTTGTCGAGGCTGCCATCAGGGAAATAGCTGCTCATCAGGTTGCTCGACCAGAAGTCGCCATGATTAAGGACATTGAATTCACTGGGATCCACGTCCAAGGTACTGAGACACTGGGCCCAATACTGTTCCGTGGTGGGCTAAAAGATGTAAGAAAAGCGGATAAGTTACGGGTCAAGTTAAAGGTTTCAATCTTAAATCCTTACAAATGCCTTGACGTAGTTCTCAGCGTCCTGCATGCCCCAGGTAAGCATGGCTTTCTTGAAGGACTTCTCCTTGAGATTGAAGCCATCTACGTGGAACTTTTTAACATCTCGAGTGACAAATCCCTCAAGGAATTCCTTTGGATAGGGACCATTCTGCTCCTCGTACACTGCACTGGCTGCATGATACTCTGCCAATTTGTGCAGCGCCCTCGTCATGTGATCCATGTCCAGGCCCTTTGTACGATCCACATTCTTGAACTGCTTCACGCTCAGATCCTCGAAGATGAAGTGGATGTCCCCATTCCGCTCCTCAGTGTGCAGGCACTTGGGCGCCAATTGTATATCCCATCCGGCATCCTTGTAAAGTTTCTCATAAGCCGGGAGATAGGTCTCGTACATCTTGGCCTCCTTGGGAAAAAGACCAAACTGGTTGATATCATTGCCTCCACGCTCATCCGGAAGCATTGTCTTGAAGATGTATGTCTTGGTTTTGATAGTGCCATCTGCAGAAGGTTTAAGCGGGAATTAATAAAGAAGGTTTTGGACAGGAAAGGAAGAACTTATTTGAAGCTTAGTTATTTTATTTAAACCTAGTTAAAACCACAAGTCTAAAATGTATAATTGTTAGACTTACTCATAATTATGTGTTTGTATAACCAATAACCACAATTTTTCGCATACTTCACCAATAGTTATACAAGCTTTTCGCATATGGTTATCAATAACTCACCTTTCATTTCTAATTTAATGTAGATCCTCAGCATGGTCGAGGTAAAGTTCTCGCCTGGTGGAATCGCAGCCACAGGCGTGAATTTTAGGACCTTCACATGATCCGGTTCGTCCTGAGCCAGCACCTTCTCAAAGTACTTCTCGTTGATCCAATCGGGGATGATCAGATGCTCGTTGGGATTCACTATCTCATCAGTCATAGTTTCGCTTTGGTTACAACCTCTCCCGGCACCTGCTAGCACAGAACTGAATTTTTTACAAATGCTCAATGGAGCTTTAGTGGGATTTTTATTGGGGTTTCTTATCGTCACCGAATGTCATTTCGGTTTGTTTTTATAATTATCATAATAACAGCTCAATCTTATCAAGCTTGCTAATTGTATTTTGTATTGTATTGCTAATTGTATAGTTTTTTATTGTAATTTTACAAAGTTTTTCGCTCCAAAAAATAGTGATTAACTACTCACCATTAAGAATGTATGTATATTCGAAATTTCCTTAACTCAAAATTGATTGTTCTTTGCTTTTATTTAGGTAGAGTATTTATTGGCTAGAAAAACATTATTTGTTTGACCTTGCCAATCAATAATCAGCAATTGACAGAAGGCTTGGCGTTACCCCACGCGCCTATTCAACACTGATTAATCAGTATTTGGTTGCGATAAGCAAGTATGTATATAAATTTAGTTATGAACAACAATCGTTTTATTTGTATAATTTCACCACATATATTTCAATTTAATTTTGAATTTGGTTGCTCCAGGAAGAAAGAGTTCATAGATAGGGAATACTATATATAATTAACTCAAAACACGCATGCAAACAATATAAATACTGTTCTTAGAGAACTTTTTGCACAATCACTATCACCACGACAATCGTTAGAGATAGTAATTATTTTCCGGGGCTTTTGTTTTGTTTGTTTTCATATCTCAACACACAAGTCTAGCCAGTCATCATGATGGTTTGGCCTAGGGTTAGACGTCATCACCTAAATGTTTGATGAATTCGTTGAGGCAGCTTAATAGGGTCAATTAGAAAGCGATTTAAAAATACCTTAAATAACTTGCTTTTATTAAAGTGATGAAATTGTTTTGTTTACTAAAACAAGTCTTTAGACCTTCCAGAATATAGTTATATTTCAGTATATTTGAGATCTATAAATTATTGGTAGTCGCTGAAGTTAAAGATGCCGCGATTGTAGAAAAAGGGATATATCTCCCTCATGAGACTGCAAAACGAAGGATTTGTGAACAGGCGCAGGCGAAACTTGTCACCTTCCTCATCGTCCCTGATAAGGGAATGCAAGTTGGACTCCTTGTCCGAGGGAAATTGGATGACAGGCAAATGATTAAAGATGGCAATAAAGGCTAAAAATATATATAGTAAATATATGATATATATTTGAAAATATTTTTCCTGCAAATTAAACCCACCGTATATAGTATTGTTTTCCTGATACAACGAAGTCTGAAGATCGCGCAATTTGGGCAGAGGCTTCTGGTACTTTAATAGCTTCAGGCACTCCACCAGTCGCTCCCAATAGATCCTCACGAAGTTGTCGAATTCCTTGAGCTTGATATCCCTGGCCGCCGAGAGAGTGATGAAAAACAAAAGGTCCTGGGCAGGACTGCCCCATTTGCACAGCTGAAAGTCCACCATGATCATCTCATTGATTTCGCCATTGGTCAGATAGTTGCACATGAGATTACTGGACCAAAAGTCGCCATGGGTGAGCGTGTTGAAGGCCTGGGGATCCGCACTGAAATTGCTTTCGCACATCTTCACATACTGCTGGGCGGTGGGCTATGGAAATGGATCAACTTCAGTACTACATATGTAGATCGAATATTTATAAAGCTACAAGTGACTCACAAAACTCTTCAGGTACTTTTCCTGATCTTCTAAGCCCCATCCATCCATGGCCTTGTGATAAGACCTGGCCTTTACATTGAAGCCTTGCTCGTGCAGCTCCAGTTTGTCCTTGGCAATGAATCCTTCCTCAAAATCATCGGGATAAGATCCATTTTTCCCCGCATATACAGAGGCTGCCGCATGGAATTCAGCCAGTTTTCGTAAAGATCGCTTCATGTGGGCAAGGTCCAGACCCTGAATGCGATCTACATTTCTAAACTTTTTCACTCCTAGGTCCTCGAATACAAAGTGAATGCCATTCTCCCTCTGATCTGTATGTAGACACTTGGGCGCCAGCTGAATCTGCTCTCCAGCGGCACGGTAGAGCTCCTCGAAGGCGGGCAGGTAGGTCTGGTACATCATTAGCTCCTTGTCGAAAATGCCACCCTCACGGATCTCCTTGCCACCACGATCCTCCGCCAGCATGGTTTTGAATATGTAAGTCTTGTGTTTGGTATTGCCATCTGCGGGGAGAGTCAAATAAAAGAGACAATTGGGATGGGATAGGGTATAATTTGATATATGTATACTTTGCGCAATATTTATGTCTAATTTCATTATCTTTGTTTTAAAACCATTAAGCTCTTCTTACCCCTCATTTGAAGATCAAAGTGAATTCTCAGCATAATCGAAGTGAAATTCTCGCCCGGCGGAATCGCAGCTACCGGCTTGAAGCTCAGTATCTTCTCATATTGGGGCTCGTCTTTATTTAGAACCTGCTCAAAGTATTCCTCATTTATCCACTTGGGTATCTCCAAGTGTTCATTGGGATTAGTAATATTATCTTTGCTGTTAGCCATATTCTTTTGTAATCTTTGCAATGTTTACGATCCAGAGTTTCTCTTTCTACTGAGTCGTTGAAGTTGGTTACACGGTTTTAAACAGGGATTGCAAATAAGAGTTATGAGTAAAATAAAAGTTATTACCAAAAAATTGAGCTGGAAAGATGAAATTTTTAGGCATACCATAATTTTTGAAGGAGTTCTCAAAAATAAAATAAACTTTTATAACCAATTTTTATTTTTTAATTGCGCTTTAACTCTTATTTTTAAATATTAATAAAAAAGTTGTAGAATAATTATTATTTTTCAATTTGTATATAAAAGTTGAGTTATAACAATTATTTTCAATTTTTAAAATAATAATTGAAAATTAAAATTATTCTCCAATTTTTATTTTAAAAATTGAAAATAATAGTTATTCTCCAATTTTTGTTTTAAAAATTGAAAATAAAAATTGAATCGCAATAACTTTCCAACGGAGCGGTATATCTTAAAGATTTATATATGTAATTAATCTACGCTTCAATACCTTTCGTTTGATGTAAATATTTATAAAGCTACAAGTGACTCACAAAACTCTTCAGGTACTTTTCCTGATCTTCTAAGCCCCATCCATCCATGGCCTTGTGATAAGACCTGGCCTTTACATTGAAGCCTTGCTCGTGCAGCTCCAGTTTGTCCTTAGCAATGAATCCTTCCTCAAAATCATCGGGATAAGATCCATTTTTCCCCGCATATACAGAGGCTGCCGCATGGAATTCAGCCAGTTTTCGTAAAGATCGCTTCATGTGGGCAAGGTCCAGACCCTGAATGCGATCTACATTTCTAAACTTTTTCACTCCTAGGTCCTCGAATACAAAGTGAATGCCATTCTCCCTCTGATCTGTATGTAGACACTTGGGCGCCAGCTGAATCTGCTCTCCAGCGGCACGGTAGAGCTCCTCGAAGGCGGGCAGGTAGGTCTGGTACATCATTAGCTCCTTGTCGAAAATGCCACCCTCACGGATCTCCTTGCCACCACGATCCTCCGCCAGCATGGTTTTGAATATATAAGTCTTGTGTTTGGTACTGCCATCTGCGGGGAGAGTCAAATAATAGAGAAAATTGGGATGGGATAGGGTATAATTTGATATATGTATACTTTGCGCAATATTTATGTCTAATTTCATTATCTTTGTTTTAAAACCATTAAGCTCTTCTTACCCCTCATTTGAAGATCAAAGTGAATTCTCAGCATAATCGAAGTGAAATTCTCGCCCGGCGGAATCGCAGCCACCGGCTTGAAGCTCAGTATCTTCTCATACTGGGGCTCGTCTTTATTTAGAACCTGCGCGAAGTATTCCTCATTTATCCACTTGGGTATCTCCAAGTGTTCATTGGGATTAGTAATATTATCTTTGCTGTTAGCCATATTCTTTTGTAATCTTTGCAATGTTTACGATCCAGAGTTTCTCTTTCTACTGAGTCGTTGAAGTTGGTTACACGGTTTTAAAGCAAATTAAAATTGTGCCAAAGCGTGGATAAAAATAGTTGAGAGTTAAGAGAGAGCTTTATACTGAACAATTTGATAGTTGTCAGCGTGACTCAATGGTTTATGGTTTTAAATAATATTTTATATTTGTTGAGAGAACTTTGTAAAGCTTTTAAGCTCAAATGAACATCAAAATAATCGAAAAAGCGTGCGCGATATTAGTTCCCATTGAACCTTTTGTGGTCAGGTGTTGCTTGAAGAGCCCCCAGAAAAATAACAAACTGATAACAATTTCGCCAAGCTGAGGGCCTATTACATTTACACAGAAAGCTCAAAAACAAAAATGTTTAAATAGAACAAACTCTCCCACACCATAGTTAGTTTACTTTCAAAGCAGTTTTGACAATATGGCCGAGGAAAGCTTCAATGCCGACGAATTGAATCCGCCAGAATGGCTGAATACTCTGTTTATTACAAAGGTGCTGATTGGTCATGAAAAGGCGCCTGAACTCAAAGTGATAGACCTGACCTTCGCGCCAGCCAGTCCCAAGGGCGATCACTATGCCAGCATTATGTTCCGGGCCAAGGTGAAGTATACCACCCAGAAGGGAGAGTTCACAAAGTCGCTGATCATCAAAACAATGCCCGAGGAGGAGGGTCTCAAGAAGGACTTGTTTGCCGACTCTCCTCTGTTCATAACAGAGATTGGCATGTACAGCAAGGTCCTGCCGGAGTGCGAGCGGATCCTTCGCGAGGTGAAGGACAATGCCAGACTGTATGTGGACTGCATCTACCACAGTCTAAGCCCGAAGCAGGTGATCATCTTCGATGATCTCGTGGAGATGGGCTACACTGTGGTGCGGGATCGTTGGCTCACGCAGGAGGAGATTTGTAGTGCCTACGGCAAGCTGGCCAGAATCCAAGCAATTAGCATGAAAATGATTAATGAGGTGAGCAGAATAGAGATTTTTAATTTTTACTCTAAAATATTTTATAAGTATTAAGTTTTTATAAAATCGTGTACCCTAATTGTAGCGGCCCGATTACCTTAAGGACTTCAAGAACGGCATGTGTGAAATGCCCGGCCTGATGGACAGTCCTATTATAAACGCCGGCATGGCTCCGTTTATTGAATTTTTGGGCAGCACTCCGGAACTTAACAAATACCAGGCCTATTTTGAGAAGATAAAACTCCGGTACAAGGAGCGACTGCGACAAACCATGCAGGAGTATCGTAACAATCCTCAACCGGATGGTTACTACGTGCTCTGCCATGGGGACTACCACTGCCGGAACATGATGTTCAAGCACAACAAGGAAACCGGAGGCTTTGAGGATTGCATGTTGCTGGACTTCCAGGGCTGCAATGTCACTCCCATGGCCGTAGATCTAATATACTCAATATACATGCTGATGGGTCCAAAACAGCGCGCTGAGGAGCTGGAACACCTGCTCAAGTACTACTTTACGGTTCTGCTGGAGACTCTCCGAAAGATCGGTTACCAGGGAAAAATGCCCACTCCCCTGGGGTTCTGGGCGGAATTCAAGCGGCATAGATACTATGGTTAGTAGGAAAGTTTTTTGGTAAATATTACTGTTGAATAATTCGGATTAATTTCTTTTCAGAGTTCCTTATGGTAAGCACCTTCCTACCCATTTCTGTGGGTCTCAGAACGTACAACTTTGACATAGAGGAAATGCTTTACAATGACGAAACCAGGCGGAAATGCTATCATCTCAAAGAATACGTCGTAGATGCCAAAAAGATGCTAGAGAGATTCGAGAGATCAGGCTACTTTGAAGATCTATAAAAAAGATATTAGCTTAGGAAAACTAACTGATTGATAAATAGATTTAAAATAAAAAGAATTTAATTCTCTTTTAGCGATAAAAGTATTCTGTGTTTATAAACAAAATAATAGCTCCTTTCTTTTTGAATTTATACCTACTATATTTATATTTAAGAAACTGAAACAAATCTTGAAGATTGTTGCTATAGCAACCCAGCAATTTTGCGAATACTCTCTTCTCTCACTGCTTTTGAATCAATACAACTGAGAGAGAATCAACAAAAGCTCATTTGTATCTCAGCGATTAAAGCTCTTTCCATCTTTTGCATTTCGACTCGAAATTCTCTTTTGAAAACCACTTAAACTTATTGTAATTGATGAGCTTTGGCCAGGTTGATCTCTTTGGGTGAACGCAACAAGTTAGCAATTAAAATGTCTGTAAGTACTGATAAAACTACCTACAATAATGATGAGTTGGTGCCACCACAAAAGTTAGAAACCATCATCATCCCCAAGGGAGAGCAGCATTATGTTCAAGGCCAAAGTAAAGTATTCCACAGAAGGAGACTTCGGCAAGTCAAAGGAAGACTTCATCCAAAGACTAAGCACAGAGTTGAAGGATTTTCGAAATAATCCCAAGACGAGAGTACTGGGTGCTCGGCAATGAAGATTTCCATCTTCGAAACTGTATGTTACAGTACCAAATGGGATCTTTCCAGGACTATTTGCCTCAGGATTATCGTTGGAAGCATTGACTCACAAAACTCTTCAGGTACTTTTCCTGATCTTCTAAGCCCCATCCATCCATGGCCTTGTGATAAGACCTGGCCTTTACATTGAAGCCTTGCTCGTGCAGCTCCAGTTTGTCCTTAGCAATGAATCCTTCCTCAAAATCATCGGGATAAGATCCATTTTTCCCCGCATATACAGAGGCTGCCGCATGGAATTCAGCCAGTTTTCGTAAAGATCGCTTCATGTGGGCAAGGTCCAGACCCTGAATGCGATCTACATTTCTAAACTTTTTCACTCCTAGGTCCTCGAATACAAAGTGAATGCCATTCTCCCTCTGATCTGTATGTAGACACTTGGGCGCCAGCTGAATCTGCTCTCCAGCGGCACGGTAGAGCTCCTCGAAGGCGGGCAGGTAGGTCTGGTACATCATTAGCTCCTTGTCGAAAATGCCACCCTCACGGATCTCCTTGCCACCACGATCCTCCGCCAGCATGGTTTTGAATATATAAGTCTTGTGTTTGGTACTGCCATCTGCGGGGAGAGTCAAATAATAGAGAAAATTGGGATGGGATAGGGTATAATTTGATATATGTATACTTTGCGCAATATTTATGTCTAATTTCATTATCTTTGTTTTAAAACCATTAAGCTCTTCTTACCCCTCATTTGAAGATCAAAGTGAATTCTCAGCATAATCGAAGTGAAATTCTCGCCCGGCGGAATCGCAGCCACCGGCTTGAAGCTCAGTATCTTCTCATACTGGGGCTCGTCTTTATTTAGAACCTGCGCGAAGTATTCCTCATTTATCCACTTGGGTATCTCCAAGTGTTCATTGGGATTAGTAATATTATCTTTGCTGTTAGCCATATTCTTTTGTAATCTTTGCAATGTTTACGATCCAGAGTTTCTCTTTCTACTGAGTCGTTGAAGTTGGTTACACGGTTTTAAAGCAAATTAAAATTGTGCCAAAGCGTGGATAAAAATAGTTGAGAGTTAAGAGAGAGCTTTATACTGAACAATTTGATAGTTGTCAGCGTGACTCAATGGTTTATGGTTTTAAATAATATTTTATATTTGTTGAGAGAACTTTGTAAAGCTTTTAAGCTCAAATGAACATCAAAATAATCGAAAAAGCGTGCGCGATATTAGTTCCCATTGAACCTTTTGTGGTCAGGTGTTGCTTGAAGAGCCCCCAGAAAAATAACAAACTGATAACAATTTCGCCAAGCTGAGGGCCTATTACATTTACACAGAAAGCTCAAAAACAAAAATGTTTAAATAGAACAAACTCTCCCACACCATAGTTAGTTTACTTTCAAAGCAGTTTTGACAATATGGCCGAGGAAAGCTTCAATGCCGACGAATTGAATCCGCCAGAATGGCTGAATACTCTGTTTATTACAAAGGTGCTGATTGGTCATGAAAAGGCGCCTGAACTCAAAGTGATAGACCTGACCTTCGCGCCAGCCAGTCCCAAGGGCGATCACTATGCCAGCATTATGTTCCGGGCCAAGGTGAAGTATACCACCCAGAAGGGAGAGTTCACAAAGTCGCTGATCATCAAAACAATGCCCGAGGAGGAGGGTCTCAAGAAGGACTTGTTTGCCGACTCTCCTCTGTTCATAACAGAGATTGGCATGTACAGCAAGGTCCTGCCGGAGTGCGAGCGGATCCTTCGCGAGGTGAAGGACAATGCCAGACTGTATGTGGACTGCATCTACCACAGTCTAAGCCCGAAGCAGGTGATCATCTTCGATGATCTCGTGGAGATGGGCTACACTGTGGTGCGGGATCGTTGGCTCACGCAGGAGGAGATTTGTAGTGCCTACGGCAAGCTGGCCAGAATCCAAGCAATTAGCATGAAAATGATTAATGAGGTGAGCAGAATAGAGATTTTTAATTTTTACTCTAAAATATTTTATAAGTATTAAGTTTTTATAAAATCGTGTACCCTAATTGTAGCGGCCCGATTACCTTAAGGACTTCAAGAACGGCATGTGTGAAATGCCCGGCCTGATGGACAGTCCTATTATAAACGCCGGCATGGCTCCGTTTATTGAATTTTTGGGCAGCACTCCGGAACTTAACAAATACCAGGCCTATTTTGAGAAGATAAAACTCCGGTACAAGGAGCGACTGCGACAAACCATGCAGGAGTATCGTAACAATCCTCAACCGGATGGTTACTACGTGCTCTGCCATGGGGACTACCACTGCCGGAACATGATGTTCAAGCACAACAAGGAAACCGGAGGCTTTGAGGATTGCATGTTGCTGGACTTCCAGGGCTGCAATGTCACTCCCATGGCCGTAGATCTAATATACTCAATATACATGCTGATGGGTCCAAAACAGCGCGCTGAGGAGCTGGAACACCTGCTCAAGTACTACTTTACGGTTCTGCTGGAGACTCTCCGAAAGATCGGTTACCAGGGAAAAATGCCCACTCCCCTGGGGTTCTGGGCGGAATTCAAGCGGCATAGATACTATGGTTAGTAGGAAAGTTTTTTGGTAAATATTACTGTTGAATAATTCGGATTAATTTCTTTTCAGAGTTCCTTATGGTAAGCACCTTCCTACCCATTTCTGTGGGTCTCAGAACGTACAACTTTGACATAGAGGAAATGCTTTACAATGACGAAACCAGGCGGAAATGCTATCATCTCAAAGAATATGTCGTAGATGCCAAAAAGATGCTAGAGAGATTCGAGAGATCAGGCTACTTTGAAGATCTATAAAAAAGATATTAGCTTAGGAAAACTAACTGATTGATAAATAGATTTAAAATAAAAAGAATTTAATTCTCTTTTAGCGATAAAAGTATTCTGTGTTTATAAACAAAATAATAGCTCCTTTCTTTTTGAATTTATACCTACTATATTTATATTTAAGAAACTGAAACAAATCTTGAAGATTGTTGCTATAGCAACCCAGCAATTTTGCGAATACTCTCTTCTCTCACTGCTTTTGAATCAATACAACTGAGAGAGAATCAACAAAAGCTCATTTGTATCTCAGCGATTAAAGCTCTTTCCATCTTTTGCATTTCGACTCGAAATTCTCTTTTGAAAACCACTTAAACTTATTGTAATTGATGAGCTTTGGCCAGGTTGATCTCTTTGGGTGAACGCAACAAGTTAGCAATTAAAATGTCTGTAAGTACTGATAAAACTACCTACAATAATGATGAGTTGGTGCCACCACAAAAGTTAGAAACCATCATCATCCCCAAGGGAGAGCAGCATTATGTTCAAGGCCAAAGTAAAGTATTCCACAGAAGGAGACTTCGGCAAGTCAAAGGAAGACTTCATCCAAAGACTAAGCACAGAGTTGAAGGATTTTCGAAATAATCCCAAGACGAGAGTACTGGGTGCTCGGCAATGAAGATTTCCATCTTCGAAACTGTATGTTACAGTACCAAATGGGATCTTTCCAGGACTATTTGCCTCAGGATTATCGTTGGAAGCATTGACTCACAAAACTCTTCAGGTACTTTTCCTGATCTTCTAAGCCCCATCCATCCATGGCCTTGTGATAAGACCTGGCCTTTACATTGAAGCCTTGCTCGTGCAGCTCCAGTTTGTCCTTAGCAATGAATCCTTCCTCAAAATCATCGGGATAAGATCCATTTTTCCCCGCATATACAGAGGCTGCCGCATGGAATTCAGCCAGTTTTCGTAAAGATCGCTTCATGTGGGCAAGGTCCAGACCCTGAATGCGATCTACATTTCTAAACTTTTTCACTCCTAGGTCCTCGAATACAAAGTGAATGCCATTCTCCCTCTGATCTGTATGTAGACACTTGGGCGCCAGCTGAATCTGCTCTCCAGCGGCACGGTAGAGCTCCTCGAAGGCGGGCAGGTAGGTCTGGTACATCATTAGCTCCTTGTCGAAAATGCCACCCTCACGGATCTCCTTGCCACCACGATCCTCCGCCAGCATGGTTTTGAATATATAAGTCTTGTGTTTGGTACTGCCATCTGCGGGGAGAGTCAAATAATAGAGAAAATTGGGATGGGATAGGGTATAATTTGATATATGTATACTTTGCGCAATATTTATGTCTAATTTCATTATCTTTGTTTTAAAACCATTAAGCTCTTCTTACCCCTCATTTGAAGATCAAAGTGAATTCTCAGCATAATCGAAGTGAAATTCTCGCCCGGCGGAATCGCAGCCACCGGCTTGAAGCTCAGTATCTTCTCATACTGGGGCTCGTCTTTATTTAGAACCTGCGCGAAGTATTCCTCATTTATCCACTTGGGTATCTCCAAGTGTTCATTGGGATTAGTAATATTATCTTTGCTGTTAGCCATATTCTTTTGTAATCTTTGCAATGTTTACGATCCAGAGTTTCTCTTTCTACTGAGTCGTTGAAGTTGGTTACACGGTTTTAAAGCAAATTAAAATTGTGCCAAAGCGTGGATAAAAATAGTTGAGAGTTAAGAGAGAGCTTTATACTGAACAATTTGATAGTTGTCAGCGTGACTCAATGGTTTATGGTTTTAAATAATATTTTATATTTGTTGAGAGAACTTTGTAAAGCTTTTAAGCTCAAATGAACATCAAAATAATCGAAAAAGCGTGCGCGATATTAGTTCCCATTGAACCTTTTGTGGTCAGGTGTTGCTTGAAGAGCCCCCAGAAAAATAACAAACTGATAACAATTTCGCCAAGCTGAGGGCCTATTACATTTACACAGAAAGCTCAAAAACAAAAATGTTTAAATAGAACAAACTCTCCCACACCATAGTTAGTTTACTTTCAAAGCAGTTTTGACAATATGGCCGAGGAAAGCTTCAATGCCGACGAATTGAATCCGCCAGAATGGCTGAATACTCTGTTTATTACAAAGGTGCTGATTGGTCATGAAAAGGCGCCTGAACTCAAAGTGATAGACCTGACCTTCGCGCCAGCCAGTCCCAAGGGCGATCACTATGCCAGCATTATGTTCCGGGCCAAGGTGAAGTATACCACCCAGAAGGGAGAGTTCACAAAGTCGCTGATCATCAAAACAATGCCCGAGGAGGAGGGTCTCAAGAAGGACTTGTTTGCCGACTCTCCTCTGTTCATAACAGAGATTGGCATGTACAGCAAGGTCCTGCCGGAGTGCGAGCGGATCCTTCGCGAGGTGAAGGACAATGCCAGACTGTATGTGGACTGCATCTACCACAGTCTAAGCCCGAAGCAGGTGATCATCTTCGATGATCTCGTGGAGATGGGCTACACTGTGGTGCGGGATCGTTGGCTCACGCAGGAGGAGATTTGTAGTGCCTACGGCAAGCTGGCCAGAATCCAAGCAATTAGCATGAAAATGATTAATGAGGTGAGCAGAATAGAGATTTTTAATTTTTACTCTAAAATATTTTATAAGTATTAAGTTTTTATAAAATCGTGTACCCTAATTGTAGCGGCCCGATTACCTTAAGGACTTCAAGAACGGCATGTGTGAAATGCCCGGCCTGATGGACAGTCCTATTATAAACGCCGGCATGGCTCCGTTTATTGAATTTTTGGGCAGCACTCCGGAACTTAACAAATACCAGGCCTATTTTGAGAAGATAAAACTCCGGTACAAGGAGCGACTGCGACAAACCATGCAGGAGTATCGTAACAATCCTCAACCGGATGGTTACTACGTGCTCTGCCATGGGGACTACCACTGCCGGAACATGATGTTCAAGCACAACAAGGAAACCGGAGGCTTTGAGGATTGCATGTTGCTGGACTTCCAGGGCTGCAATGTCACTCCCATGGCCGTAGATCTAATATACTCAATATACATGCTGATGGGTCCAAAACAGCGCGCTGAGGAGCTGGAACACCTGCTCAAGTACTACTTTACGGTTCTGCTGGAGACTCTCCGAAAGATCGGTTACCAGGGAAAAATGCCCACTCCCCTGGGGTTCTGGGCGGAATTCAAGCGGCATAGATACTATGGTTAGTAGGAAAGTTTTTTGGTAAATATTACTGTTGAATAATTCGGATTAATTTCTTTTCAGAGTTCCTTATGGTAAGCACCTTCCTACCCATTTCTGTGGGTCTCAGAACGTACAACTTTGACATAGAGGAAATGCTTTACAATGACGAAACCAGGCGGAAATGCTATCATCTCAAAGAATATGTCGTAGATGCCAAAAAGATGCTAGAGAGATTCGAGAGATCAGGCTACTTTGAAGATCTATAAAAAAGATATTAGCTTAGGAAAACTAACTGATTGATAAATAGATTTAAAATAAAAAGAATTTAATTCTCTTTTAGCGATAAAAGTATTCTGTGTTTATAAACAAAATAATAGCTCCTTTCTTTTTGAATTTATACCTACTATATTTATATTTAAGAAACTGAAACAAATCTTGAAGATTGTTGCTATAGCAACCCAGCAATTTTGCGAATACTCTCTTCTCTCACTGCTTTTGAATCAATACAACTGAGAGAGAATCAACAAAAGCTCATTTGTATCTCAGCGATTAAAGCTCTTTCCATCTTTTGCATTTCGACTCGAAATTCTCTTTTGAAAACCACTTAAACTTATTGTAATTGATGAGCTTTGGCCAGGTTGATCTCTTTGGGTGAACGCAACAAGTTAGCAATTAAAATGTCTGTAAGTACTGATAAAACTACCTACAATAATGATGAGTTGGTGCCACCACAAAAGTTAGAAACCATCATCATCCCCAAGGGAGAGCAGCATTATGTTCAAGGCCAAAGTAAAGTATTCCACAGAAGGAGACTTCGGCAAGTCAAAGGAAGACTTCATCCAAAGACTAAGCACAGAGTTGAAGGATTTTCGAAATAATCCCAAGACGAGAGTACTGGGTGCTCGGCAATGAAGATTTCCATCTTCGAAACTGTATGTTACAGTACCAAATGGGATCTTTCCAGGACTATTTGCCTCAGGATTATCGTTGGAAGCATTGACTCACAAAACTCTTCAGGTACTTTTCCTGATCTTCTAAGCCCCATCCATCCATGGCCTTGTGATAAGACCTGGCCTTTACATTGAAGCCTTGCTCGTGCAGCTCCAGTTTGTCCTTAGCAATGAATCCTTCCTCAAAATCATCGGGATAAGATCCATTTTTCCCCGCATATACAGAGGCTGCCGCATGGAATTCAGCCAGTTTTCGTAAAGATCGCTTCATGTGGGCAAGGTCCAGACCCTGAATGCGATCTACATTTCTAAACTTTTTCACTCCTAGGTCCTCGAATACAAAGTGAATGCCATTCTCCCTCTGATCTGTATGTAGACACTTGGGCGCCAGCTGAATCTGCTCTCCAGCGGCACGGTAGAGCTCCTCGAAGGCGGGCAGGTAGGTCTGGTACATCATTAGCTCCTTGTCGAAAATGCCACCCTCACGGATCTCCTTGCCACCACGATCCTCCGCCAGCATGGTTTTGAATATATAAGTCTTGTGTTTGGTACTGCCATCTGCGGGGAGAGTCAAATAATAGAGAAAATTGGGATGGGATAGGGTATAATTTGATATATGTATACTTTGCGCAATATTTATGTCTAATTTCATTATCTTTGTTTTAAAACCATTAAGCTCTTCTTACCCCTCATTTGAAGATCAAAGTGAATTCTCAGCATAATCGAAGTGAAATTCTCGCCCGGCGGAATCGCAGCCACCGGCTTGAAGCTCAGTATCTTCTCATACTGGGGCTCGTCTTTATTTAGAACCTGCGCGAAGTATTCCTCATTTATCCACTTGGGTATCTCCAAGTGTTCATTGGGATTAGTAATATTATCTTTGCTGTTAGCCATATTCTTTTGTAATCTTTGCAATGTTTACGATCCAGAGTTTCTCTTTCTACTGAGTCGTTGAAGTTGGTTACACGGTTTTAAAGCAAATTAAAATTGTGCCAAAGCGTGGATAAAAATAGTTGAGAGTTAAGAGAGAGCTTTATACTGAACAATTTGATAGTTGTCAGCGTGACTCAATGGTTTATGGTTTTAAATAATATTTTATATTTGTTGAGAGAACTTTGTAAAGCTTTTAAGCTCAAATGAACATCAAAATAATCGAAAAAGCGTGCGCGATATTAGTTCCCATTGAACCTTTTGTGGTCAGGTGTTGCTTGAAGAGCCCCCAAAAAAATAACAAACTGATAACAATTTCGCCAAGCTGAGGGCCTATTACATTTACACAGAAAGCTCAAAAACAAATATGTTTAAATAGAACAAACTCTCCCACACCATAGTTAGTTTACTTTCAAAGCAGTTTTGACAATATGGCCGAGGAAAGCTTCAATGCCGACGAATTGAATCCGCCAGAATGGCTGAATACTCTGTTTATTACAAAGGTGCTGATTGGTCATGAAAAGGCGCCTGAACTCAAAGTGATAGACCTGACCTTCGCGCCAGCCAGTCCCAAGGGCGATCACTATGCCAGCATTATGTTCCGGGCCAAGGTGAAGTATACCACCCAGAAGGGAGAGTTCACAAAGTCGCTGATCATCAAAACAATGCCCGAGGAGGAGGGTCTCAAGAAGGACTTGTTTGCCGACTCTCCTCTGTTCATAACAGAGATTGGCATGTACAGCAAGGTCCTGCCGGAGTGCGAGCGGATCCTTCGCGAGGTGAAGGACAATGCCAGACTGTATGTGGACTGCATCTACCACAGTCTAAGCCCGAAGCAGGTGATCATCTTCGATGATCTCGTGGAGATGGGCTACACTGTGGTGCGGGATCGTTGGCTCACGCAGGAGGAGATTTGTAGTGCCTACGGCAAGCTGGCCAGAATCCAAGCAATTAGCATGAAAATGATTAATGAGGTGAGCAGAATAGAGATTTTTAATTTTTACTCTAAAATATTTTATAAGTATTAAGTTTTTATAAAATCGTGTACCCTAATTGTAGCGGCCCGATTACCTTAAGGACTTCAAGAACGGCATGTGTGAAATGCCCGGCCTGATGGACAGTCCTATTATAAACGCCGGCATGGCTCCGTTTATTGAATTTTTGGGCAGCACTCCGGAACTTAACAAATACCAGGCCTATTTTGAGAAGATAAAACTCCGGTACAAGGAGCGACTGCGACAAACCATGCAGGAGTATCGTAACAATCCTCAACCGGATGGTTACTACGTGCTCTGCCATGGGGACTACCACTGCCGGAACATGATGTTCAAGCACAACAAGGAAACCGGAGGCTTTGAGGATTGCATGTTGCTGGACTTCCAGGGCTGCAATGTCACTCCCATGGCCGTAGATCTAATATACTCAATATACATGCTGATGGGTCCAAAACAGCGCGCTGAGGAGCTGGAACACCTGCTCAAGTACTACTTTACGGTTCTGCTGGAGACTCTCCGAAAGATCGGTTACCAGGGAAAAATGCCCACTCCCCTGGGGTTCTGGGCGGAATTCAAGCGGCATAGATACTATGGTTAGTAGGAAAGTTTTTTGGTAAATATTACTGTTGAATAATTCGGATTAATTTCTTTTCAGAGTTCCTTATGGTAAGCACCTTCCTACCCATTTCTGTGGGTCTCAGAACGTACAACTTTGACATAGAGGAAATGCTTTACAATGACGAAACCAGGCGGAAATGCTATCATCTCAAAGAATACGTCGTAGATGCCAAAAAGATGCTAGAGAGATTCGAGAGATCAGGCTACTTTGAAGATCTATAAAAAAGATATTAGCTTAGGAAAACTAACTGATTGATAAATAGATTTAAAATAAAAAGAATTTAATTCTCTTTTAGCGATAAAAGTATTCTGTGTTTATAAACAAAATAATAGCTCCTTTCTTTTTGAATTTATACCTACTATATTTATATTTAAGAAACTGAAACAAATCTTGAAGATTGTTGCTATAGCAACCCAGCAATTTTGCGAATACTCTCTTCTCTCACTGCTTTTGAATCAATACAACTGAGAGAGAATCAACAAAAGCTCATTTGTATCTCAGCGATTAAAGCTCTTTCCATCTTTTGCATTTCGACTCGAAATTCTCTTTTGAAAACCACTTAAACTTATTGTAATTGATGAGCTTTGGCCAGGTTGATCTCTTTGGGTGAACGCAACAAGTTAGCAATTAAAATGTCTGTAAGTACTGATAAAACTACCTACAATAATGATGAGTTGGTGCCACCACAAAAGTTAGAAACCATCATCATCCCCAAGGGAGAGCAGCATTATGTTCAAGGCCAAAGTAAAGTATTCCACAGAAGGAGACTTCGGCAAGTCAAAGGAAGACTTCATCCAAAGACTAAGCACAGAGTTGAAGGATTTTCGAAATAATCCCAAGACGAGAGTACTGGGTGCTCGGCAATGAAGATTTCCATCTTCGAAACTGTATGTTACAGTACCAAATGGGATCTTTCCAGGACTATTTGCCTCAGGATTATCGTTGGAAGCATTGACTCACAAAACTCTTCAGGTACTTTTCCTGATCTTCTAAGCCCCATCCATCCATGGCCTTGTGATAAGACCTGGCCTTTACATTGAAGCCTTGCTCGTGCAGCTCCAGTTTGTCCTTAGCAATGAATCCTTCCTCAAAATCATCGGGATAAGATCCATTTTTCCCCGCATATACAGAGGCTGCCGCATGGAATTCAGCCAGTTTTCGTAAAGATCGCTTCATGTGGGCAAGGTCCAGACCCTGAATGCGATCTACATTTCTAAACTTTTTCACTCCTAGGTCCTCGAATACAAAGTGAATGCCATTCTCCCTCTGATCTGTATGTAGACACTTGGGCGCCAGCTGAATCTGCTCTCCAGCGGCACGGTAGAGCTCCTCGAAGGCGGGCAGGTAGGTCTGGTACATCATTAGCTCCTTGTCGAAAATGCCACCCTCACGGATCTCCTTGCCACCACGATCCTCCGCCAGCATGGTTTTGAATATATAAGTCTTGTGTTTGGTACTGCCATCTGCGGGGAGAGTCAAATAATAGAGAAAATTGGGATGGGATAGGGTATAATTTGATATATGTATACTTTGCGCAATATTTATGTCTAATTTCATTATCTTTGTTTTAAAACCATTAAGCTCTTCTTACCCCTCATTTGAAGATCAAAGTGAATTCTCAGCATAATCGAAGTGAAATTCTCGCCCGGCGGAATCGCAGCCACCGGCTTGAAGCTCAGTATCTTCTCATACTGGGGCTCGTCTTTATTTAGAACCTGCGCGAAGTATTCCTCATTTATCCACTTGGGTATCTCCAAGTGTTCATTGGGATTAGTAATATTATCTTTGCTGTTAGCCATATTCTTTTGTAATCTTTGCAATGTTTACGATCCAGAGTTTCTCTTTCGACTGAGTCGTTGAAGTTGGTTACACGGTTTTAAAGCAAATTAAAATTGTGCCAAAGCGTGGATAAAAATAGTTGAGAGTTAAGAGAGAGCTTTATACTGAACAATTTGATAGTTGTCAGCGTGACTCAATGGTTTATGGTTTTAAATAATATTTTATATTTGTTGAGAGAACTTTGTAAAGCTTTTAAGCTCAAATGAACATCAAAATAATCGAAAAAGCGTGCGCGATATTAGTTCCCATTGAACCTTTTGTGGTCAGGTGTTGCTTGAAGAGCCCCCAGAAAAATAACAAACTGATAACAATTTCGCCAAGCTGAGGGCCTATTACATTTACACAGAAAGCTCAAAAACAAATATGTTTAAATAGAACAAACTCTCCCACACCATAGTTAGTTTACTTTCAAAGCAGTTTTGACAATATGGCCGAGGAAAGCTTCAATGCCGACGAATTGAATCCGCCAGAATGGCTGAATACTCTGTTTATTACAAAGGTGCTGATTGGTCATGAAAAGGCGCCTGAACTCAAAGTGATAGACCTGACCTTCGCGCCAGCCAGTCCCAAGGGCGATCACTATGCCAGCATTATGTTCCGGGCCAAGGTGAAGTATACCACCCAGAAGGGAGGGTTCACAAAGTCGCTGATCATCAAAACAATGCCCGAGGAGGAGGGTCTCAAGAAGGACTTGTTTGCCGAGTCTCCTCTGTTCATAACTGAGATTGGCATGTACAGCAAGGTCCTGCCGGAGTGCGAGCGGATCCTTCGCGAGGTGAAGGACAATGCCAGACTGTATGTAGACTGCATCTACTACAGCCTTAGCCCGAAGCAGGTGATCATCTTCGATGATCTCGTGGAGATGGGCTACACTGTGGTGCGGGATCGTTGGCTCACGCAGGAGGAGATTTGTAGTGCCTACGGCAAGCTGGCCAGAATCCAGGCAATTAGCATGAAAATGATTAATGAGGTGAGCAGAGTTCTAATAGAGATTTTTAATTTTTACTCTAAAATATTTTATTAGTATTAAGTTTTTATTAAATGGTTTACCCTAATTGCAGCGGCCCGATTACCTTAAGGACTTCAAGAACGGCATGTGTGAAATGCCCGGCCTGATGGACAGTCCCATTATTAACGCCGGCATGGCTCCGTTTATTGAATTTTTGGGCAGCACTCCGGAACTTAACAAATACCAGGCCTATTTTGAGAAGATAAAACTCCATTACAAGGAGCGACTGCGGCAAACCATGCAGGAGTATCGTAAAAATCCTCAACCGGATGGTTACTACGTGCTCTGCCATGGGGACTACCACTGCCGGAACATGATGTTCAAGCACAACAAGGAAACCGGAGGCTTTGAGGATTGCATGTTGCTGGACTTCCAGGGCTGCAATGTCACTCCCATGGCCGTAGATCTAATATACTCAATATACATGCTGATGGGTCCAGAACAGCGCGCTGAGGAGCTGGAACACCTGCTCAAGTACTACTTTACGGTTCTGCTGGAGACTCTCCGAAAGATCGGTTACCAGGGAAAAATGCCCACTCCCCTGGGGTTCTGGGCGGAATTCAAGCGGCATAGATACTATGGTTAGTAGGAAAGTTTTTTGGTAAATATTACTGTTGAATAATTCGGATTAATTTCTTTTCAGAGTTCCTTATGGTAAGCACCTTCCTACCCATTTCAGTGGGTCTCAGAACGTACAACTTTGACATAGAGGAAATGCTTTACAATGACGAAACCAGGCGGAAATGCTATCATCTCAAAGAATATGTCGAAGATGCCAAAAAGATGCTAGAGAGATTCGAGAGATCAGGCTACTTTGAAGATCTATAAAAAAGATATTAGCTTAGGAAAACTAACTGATTGATAAATAGATTTAAAATAAAAAGAATTTAATTCTCTTTTAGCGATAAAAGTATTCTGTGTTTATAAACAAAATAATAGCTCCTTTCTTTTTGAATTTATACCTACTATATTTATATTTAAGAAACTGAAACAAATCTTGAAGATTGTTGCTATAGCAACCCAGCAATTTTGCGAATACTCTCTTCTCTCACTGCTTTTGAATCAATACAACTGAGAGAGAATCAACAAAAGCTCATTTGTATCTCAGCGATTAAAGCTCTTTCCATCTTTTGCATTTCGACTCGAAATTCTCTTTTGAAAACCACTTAAACTTATTGTAATTGATGAGCTTTGGCCAGGTTGATCTCTTTGGGTGAACGCAACAAGTTAGCAATTAAAATGTCTGTAAGTACTGATAAAACTACCTACAATAATGATGAGTTGGTGCCACCACAAAAGTTAGAAACCATCATCATCCCCAAGGGAGAGCAGCATTATGTTCAAGGCCAAAGTAAAGTATTCCACAGAAGGAGACTTCGGCAAGTCAAAGGAAGACTTCATCCAAAGACTAAGCACAGAGTTGAAGGATTTTCGAAATAATCCCAAGACGAGAGTACTGGGTGCTCGGCAATGAAGATTTCCATCTTCGAAACTGTATGTTACAGTACCAAATGGGATCTTTCCAGGACTATTTGCCTCAGGATTATCGTTGGAAGCATTGACTCACAAAACTCTTCAGGTACTTTTCCTGATCTTCTAAGCCCCATCCATCCATGGCCTTGTGATAAGACCTGGCCTTTACATTGAAGCCTTGCTCGTGCAGCTCCAGTTTGTCCTTAGCAATGAATCCTTCCTCAAAATCATCGGGATAAGATCCATTTTTCCCCGCATATACAGAGGCTGCCGCATGGAATTCAGCCAGTTTTCGTAAAGATCGCTTCATGTGGGCAAGGTCCAGACCCTGAATGCGATCTACATTTCTAAACTTTTTCACTCCTAGGTCCTCGAATACAAAGTGAATGCCATTCTCCCTCTGATCTGTATGTAGACACTTGGGCGCCAGCTGAATCTGCTCTCCAGCGGCACGGTAGAGCTCCTCGAAGGCGGGCAGGTAGGTCTGGTACATCATTAGCTCCTTGTCGAAAATGCCACCCTCACGGATCTCCTTGCCACCACGATCCTCCGCCAGCATGGTTTTGAATATATAAGTCTTGTGTTTGGTACTGCCATCTGCGGGGAGAGTCAAATAATAGAGAAAATTGGGATGGGATAGGGTATAATTTGATATATGTATACTTTGCGCAATATTTATGTCTAATTTCATTATCTTTGTTTTAAAACCATTAAGCTCTTCTTACCCCTCATTTGAAGATCAAAGTGAATTCTCAGCATAATCGAAGTGAAATTCTCGCCCGGCGGAATCGCAGCCACCGGCTTGAAGCTCAGTATCTTCTCATACTGGGGCTCGTCTTTATTTAGAACCTGCGCGAAGTATTCCTCATTTATCCACTTGGGTATCTCCAAGTGTTCATTGGGATTAGTAATATTATCTTTGCTGTTAGCCATATTCTTTTGTAATCTTTGCAATGTTTACGATCCAGAGTTTCTCTTTCTACTGAGTCGTTGAAGTTGGTTACACGGTTTTAAAGCAAATTAAAATTGTGCCAAAGCGTGGATAAAAATAGTTGAGAGTTAAGAGAGAGCTTTATACTGAACAATTTGATAGTTGTCAGCGTGACTCAATGGTTTATGGTTTTAAATAATATTTTATATTTGTTGAGAGAACTTTGTAAAGCTTTTAAGCTCAAATGAACATCAAAATAATCGAAAAAGCGTGCGCGATATTAGTTCCCATTGAACCTTTTGTGGTCAGGTGTTGCTTGAAGAGCCCCCAGAAAAATAACAAACTGATAACAATTTCGCCAAGCTGAGGGCCTATTACATTTACACAGAAAGCTCCAAAACAAAAATGCTTAAATAGAACAAACTCTCCCACACCATAGTTAGTTTACTTCCAAAGCAGTTTTGACAATATGGCCGAGGAAAGCTTCAATGCCGACGAATTGATTCCGCCAGAATGGCTGAATACTCAGTTTATTACAAAGGTGCTGATTGGTCATGAAAAGGCGCCTGAACTCAAAGTGATAGACCTGACCTTCGCGCCAGCCAGTCCCAAGGGCGATCACTATGCCAGCATTATGTTCCGGGCCAAGGTGAAGTATACCACCCAGAAGGGAGGGTTCACAAAGTCGCTGATCATCAAAACAATGCCCGAGGAGGAGGGTCTCAAGAAGGACTTGTTTGCCGAGTCTCCTCTGTTCATAACTGAGATTGGCATGTACAGCAAGGTCCTGCCGGAGTGCGAGCGGATCCTTCGCGAGGTGAAGGACAATGCCAGACTGTATGTAGACTGCATCTACTACAGCCTTAGCCCGAAGCAGGTGATCATCTTCGATGATCTCGTGGAGATGGGCTACACTGTGGTGCGGGATCGTTGGCTCACGCAGGAGGAGATTTGTAGTGCCTACGGCAAGCTGGCCAGAATCCAGGCAATTAGCATGAAAATGATTAATGAGGTGAGCAGAGTTCTAATAGAGATTTTTAATTTTTACTCTAAAATATTTTATTAGTATTAAGTTTTTATTAAATGGTTTACCCTAATTGCAGCGGCCCGATTACCTTAAGGACTTCAAGAACGGCATGTGTGAAATGCCCGGCCTGATGGACAGTCCCATTATTAACGCCGGCATGGCTCCGTTTATTGAATTTTTGGGCAGCACTCCGGAACTTAACAAATACCAGGCCTATTTTGAGAAGATAAAACTCCGGTACAAGGAGCGACTGCGACAAACCATGCAGGAGTATCGTAACAATCCTCAACCGGATGGTTACTACGTGCTCTGCCATGGGGACTACCACTGCCGGAACATGATGTTCAAGCACAACAAGGAAACCGGAGGCTTTGAGGATTGCATGTTGCTGGACTTCCAGGGCTGCAATGTCACTCCCATGGCCGTAGATCTAATATACTCAATATACATGCTGATGGGTCCAAAACAGCGCGCTGAGGAGCTGGAACACCTGCTCAAGTACTACTTTACGGTTCTGCTGGAGACTCTCCGAAAGATCGGTTACCAGGGAAAAATGCCCACTCCCCTGGGGTTCTGGGCGGAATTCAAGCGGCATAGATACTATGGTTAGTAGGAAAGTTTTTTGGTAAATATTACTGTTGAATAATTCGGATTAATTTCTTTTCAGAGTTCCTTATGGTAAGCACCTTCCTACCCATTTCAGTGGGTCTCAGAACGTACAACTTTGACATAGAGGAAATGCTTTACAATGACGAAACCAGGCGGAAATGCTATCATCTCAAAGAATATGTCGAAGATGCCAAAAAGATGCTAGAGAGATTCGAGAGATCAGGCTACTTTGAAGATCTATAAAAAAGATATTAGCTTAGGAAAACTAACTGATTGATAAATAGATTTAAAATAAAAAGAATTTAATTCTCTTTTAGCGATAAAAGTATTCTGTGTTTATAAACAAAATAATAGCTCCTTTCTTTTTGAATTTATACCTACTATATTTATATTTAAGAAACTGAAACAAATCTTGAAGATTGTTGCTATAGCAACCCAGCAATTTTGCGAATACTCTCTTCTCTCACTGCTTTTGAATCAATACAACTGAGAGAGAATCAACAAAAGCTCATTTGTATCTCAGCGATTAAAGCTCTTTCCATCTTTTGCATTTCGACTCGAAATTCTCTTTTGAAAACCACTTAAACTTATTGTAATTGATGAGCTTTGGCCAGGTTGATCTCTTTGGGTGAACGCAACAAGTTAGCAATTAAAATGTCTGTAAGTACTGATAAAACTACCTACAATAATGATGAGTTGGTGCCACCACAAAAGTTAGAAACCATCATCATCCCCAAGGGAGAGCAGCATTATGTTCAAGGCCAAAGTAAAGTATTCCACAGAAGGAGACTTCGGCAAGTCAAAGGAAGACTTCATCCAAAGACTAAGCACAGAGTTGAAGGATTTTCGAAATAATCCCAAGACGAGAGTACTGGGTGCTCGGCAATGAAGATTTCCATCTTCGAAACTGTATGTTACAGTACCAAATGGGATCTTTCCAGGACTATTTGCCTCAGGATTATCGTTGGAAGCATTGGGAAGATCTGATTAACTATTGTTACTTATTTTAAGGAGCATCTGTTACAAGAGAGAAATGCCCACCAAATCGGATTTCTGCATATGCATATATTACGGTTAGTTCTGTCATTATATCTTTCTTTAGGTATTTAAACCACTGACTTCTACACATATTCCTTTTCTATATCTTGCACTTGTACATGGCATTTATCTTGCGCACATCTCCGGCGGAAAAGCCACGGCGCTGTCCCATCTGGTTGGCATCGGCACCAGGGCGCAGAGCCTTTAGTGTCGGCTGACCGTTCCGGGTGAAGCTGGTGGACGAGTAGTGCATCACGCTGGCATAGTCATAGTCCACACCGAAGCCCGACTGGGTCCTGGAGCTGGCCTTCTCGAAGTTGGCCATCATTTCGGGCTTGATGTTGTCGCTCATCACTCGGACATAGGCATCCCGTTCATGGCGATTCTGCTCGTGGAAGAATCCCAGGGCGTGCATCAGTTCGTGGATCGGAGTACCATATGTCCTCAGGCAGTTGGGTGACTGCAGATTCACCTCCTGCCGCCCGCCCAGGCGTCCAATGCTGCTCCAGCAACCAGACTTTCCACTGCCAATGGAGATGTAGTCCTTCTCAGTTGTCCGAGGCTTAAAACGAACGCAGGTTCTGGTGTGGTATTCCTTTAAGGACATATTAAGTTTGGAGTTTTATATTATTTATTATTTTATAGCTTTACCTTAAAGGCATGATTGATGTTCCCCAATTCCTGTGAGGTAAACGGGCCCTTGATCTCATAGGGCACCACGCCACCCGGCCAGCGGGAACTCAGCGCTAGGATGCCATTCCTTGTGCCATTGGATCTGGATTCCGTATAACTCAGCGGAATGAGTATATCGCCCTCGTAGTAGGTGCCCAGTTCCTCGGGATTCTGTGCAGACTCCTCGTTGTGAGCTTCGACCAAGGCACCTGTGGTCTCAACATCTGGATTGCCAAATATGGTATCGCCCAAGTCGGTCAAGTCAATCATCTCCTCAGAATCCATATCCTCCAGGGGCATGAAATCTCCCAGATGAATGCCAAGAAGCACCAGGAGCAAGAAAAGGTAGAGTCTACTTTGGAACTTTGCCATTTTACCAAGTTCTAGAACTGCTGCGACTCTATTTACTACTGGCATTATATAGTCTCACCTAGACCTCCAAAAATTTGCGACTTGTTGTCGGCCTTTTTGTAACACAAATTTTCTGGCTGCCTATGCAAAGTTTTTGTCTATTTTAAGAGATAAGACGGCGCTTTGTGGGCGGTTTTATTTGCATAAAGTACGCACTGCATATCCGCGAACCCCGTGATTTATGTAGAATTTTATGCATTCCACTGTAATGTGTCAATTTGTAACTAGAATAAAGGAATTTTTTTACATTTTTTTACTGATTAACTAAAGTTTTTGAGCGTTTATGTAGGATGTTGTACGTTTCTTGTAAAATACATAGTTTTACAAATACTTTTCCAAAAGTTCATGACACGCAACGAATTTCCAGAGCATTGTTTTTATTTTATAATAGTATTAAAAGAATTTATTTATTTCGTTTTGCTTTTTTTTGTAATTTAACTTTGTTAATATTATAATTTTGATTCAAACCAACTTTTTACTTAAAAAGCATTTAAATTACATTGAGAAAAATCTTTAACTTTATTGTAAACATTGTACATCATAATAAAATTATATTTTATCATTGTTTAAATTTTTTATTTCTATATAACTTTTGAATAAAAATAAGAGAATATTTATAAAGTAATTAACTAAATAAATGCGTTACACAACAGACCATATATATTTTTTTTAAATTTATACTCTGAAATATGTAACTGTTACCCAACCTTATAATTCTCCAAAATAAATTATAACTTTTACTTTAATTTACACCATTTTGAAAAATATTAAATCTGGCGGTAAAGGCGTGTGTGACCAGGAGTGCGGTGGAGACTAAGAGCATGTAATTTTAGTGTGCCCAGCAGCCTCGAAATAATTTAGGTCTTTTGAGATTTTTTAGCGGGAAGACCAAATTTTCATCTGGTAACACTGACGTTCGACATCTATATAAGGAGCTCCATGGGCGCATTCGAAAATTTTTTGAAAAAAGAAACGACGTCGCGCGGCTCCGCGGAAAATTATAAATAAAACGTTATTTTAGCGTTGTTGGCTGTTTGGCTTCGTGTGTTAGTGTTGGCCAATGTGTATGCGTGAGCTTGCAGTTCAGAAGGGCAGCCTCAACACAAGCTCAACTTTTTTTAAGCCACCTCTTCTGCGCGTGTGTGTGTGATTTAGGGTAACAATTCTGGCCAGCGTGAAAAAATGCGAAATTAGATTGGCTCAAAGCGGAAGCGGAATCTCTGTGCTCAATATTCAAATTCAGGCTAGAAAGTGTCGCGTGCGAAAGTGTGCAAATAATACAACTAGCGAAAAAAGAAAAATATAAACTGAAGGAAACCTGTTCTAAGCCAAGTGCGGCAAACGTGTCGCAGGTGTGTGTGTGTGTGTGCGTGTGGGAGAGGGAATAGAGAAATAGAGAAGAGCAGAATGCAATAAATAATAACAAACAAAGCTCAATGCCCAATGCATAAATATCTCCTGGATGAAAACTGTTGGCCAAAACGAAAAGTGTAAAACGAAAACCCTTTCCAATACGAGTTGTGGCTACAAATCAACGATCATGACCACGAGTGCGTCACCAACACAACGGCAGCAACAAAAACAACAACAGAGGAAAGCAGCAACAACAAGAACAACAACGAGAAGTCGAGACCGCACGAAAAGCGCAGCTCAAATTACGACGCCAACGTCGCATTTGCTCAAGCGCGCCATTTCAGTTTTTTCGTCGCCTCAATGGATACCGCTCTTCATATTAATTTATTTAGCAACAGGTGAGAGAGAGAGAGGCAGATCTCTGAGAGGACATTGTTAAAACGTTCTTGGCACAGTGAAAACTCCTTAAAGGGAACCATCTAACAAACATTTTTAATCGCTTGATGGGTTCTATATCTTTTTAATTAATTAAATAAAATATTTTTCTGGAAAATTTTAAATTTTTTGTTTTAAATGAAATTGTATAATTTTTACTGTAAGTAGATTATTTGCTGAGCCACATGCATTTTTCGGAGTAAACATTTGCTGATGTTTTCAAAAGCTCTCATTCCGAAACAAGAGCAACAGGTCACGTGTGTGTGTTGTTGTGTGCGGCTGGGGATGTGGCCAAAGGAAAAGTCATTTTGGGGAAAGGAATTTCCATTGATTTCGGGCATCCAAGAAACTCGTTGAACGGGTTTTCCTTGAAGAATAGTGACTCATGGCGATGGTATACCTGAGGTTTGATTGTGTTAATTATCCACTCATTTCACTTTATTTTTGAGGGTTGTGTGTGCTCATTCTTATCGTCAAAATAAAAGGAATGCATAAGAAACTTAACGTCAAATGTATTAGCTTCGATCACGTATTTATTTATATTCGGTTAAATTATTCTCGGTCGCTGGGCAGGTCTATTAATCATAATAAATAAGGAACACGTTTAAAACCCTCTTCATTTTTAGTTATGACTGTTCAGACCAATTTAATTATAATGGGAGGTAAATTTTAGATAAAGCCTAAAAGTTTATGTTTTTTAGTCAGTTCCAAAAAATAATAAAATTATTGTTATCTTGAAAATCTCATTATTAATTGTATATTTCACAACCAATTTAATAATAAAATAATCAAAAATCGAATTGAAAATTGAATTGCATATTTAATAATAAACCCGGAAACATAAAAATATGTGTTTTAGCTAGTTTTAATCATGTTTTCCCATAACAACTTTTTTCTTTTCATTTGTTTGTACTGCATATTTAACAAAATCTATTATTTGAAGGAGTTTGCAACTCCGAATTTGATTACTCCACATAATGATCACATTAAAATTAATAATTCAAAACTCTTGCTGACTCATCGAGTGTAATTATCAGTTACATGTTGTCCGAGTCTCAGTTTGGCTGCTTTCTTAGCATTTTTTGTGCACCTTTTCACTGGATTGTGCAAAAACGACCTAAAAAATTAAGTTTATTTATTTACAATACCTACCATCCGACTGTTGTTACGCACAATCTTATCTTTTGGCCGGAAAGTAGAGTACAACAGTTGCAAAAGAGCGACCGGCGCAACGTCAGCAGACCGCAATTTGATAAGGAAAGCCCACATACAAAGGCGACAGAGACGGAGAGAGAGTTTTCCTATGCGATGTTGGGAAAGCCCTGAACTGCACCAAACAAACTGGTTTTCACAGCAGCTTCCATCATAAAAGACAATTAACTACCTTTCAGATAGAAAGGGTTGCGGCATTTGTTCTTTTGAAAGAAAAGCAATTTACTTTTACATCAGCTTAAAAATAGTTTTTATTGTAAATATATTGTATATTTAATACAGAATTCCCTTATAAAATAAGAAATAATTTATCATTTAAATTGTAAATAGGATAACCCTTTCATTATTAAGGGTTGAACAACCTTTATACTATATTTCAAAAATATATCTCCTGCTCACTGCCAAATCTCAAAAATACTTCGGCCTAGGAGATAAGAAAACCGTGGGGATATATTTTATCAGCCATTTTTTGACTTTGCTTAATGACTGGCGGGGAAAACTCACAAAAGAAAAAAAGGGACAGACAGACAGAGGTTTTCCATTTCGCCGCTGGGAAATCCCTGAAATGCATCACAACAACTGGTTTAAAGCAGACTCCATCATAAAATCTCGATGATCGTCAGCGTCAACTTCACTTTGAGAGTGGTGTCTTTCTAGTTTTCCTTTGAATTTCCGCCCTAAACACGGAGATATAATCCATCATATTCAGGGGAAAATCGCGGGGCAGGTACACACTTCTCTTTGAAAAAAAGTGGAGGGAATACATAAATTAAGAAAACTACCTGCATTGCGTTAACGATAACAACACGTGACCTCGCGGGTCAGTGGAAATACACTACACTGCCACATAAATGAGAATCGAGAATGGAAATTGTATGCGGGATGGGCACACCCGCGTTCTCCGGTCTCCGGTGTCCGGTCTTTTGGCCTGGTCAAGTGTTAAAGTGCAATCGGCCGTGACATGGGCTGTGTTCCGCGCTTCGTGGGCCTACGCAGCCAGCCGGCCGCGACCATTGCCTGACGCTGGCCATTAGTGCAAGTCGTTAGCCAGCTCTATAAAAATAGCCAGTGTAGAACTGAAAAAGAACAGATTTGCCCCAGTCCCTAAAGGTTGGAGGTAGTTTATACCCGGTAATCGAAGTATAGGGGGTATATGTATGTATAATATAAGTGTCTCTTTCTATAAAACACCAACTCGTGGTAATTATTAAAGCTATAGAGCTTAACTTTGGGATGTTAATTCCAAATAAGTGTATTTTAGGATGGGTAACTAGCTTTGTAATCCCATTTAAGGATTTTTACAGTATTTCAATAACCCATAGCATGCTCTGTGAGGGTATTTTTTGGTCGAGACCTAAGATAATATGGTTCTTACTAGTTTTTAGTTGCAGCGTTGCCAGTTTTCAGCGGCTGCATCGATTAGCCCAGCCACCTTGGGAATTTACCACGACACAAAAAACCGCAAATATGAGAAAATCAGAGAGAAAAAAACCCAGACAAAATAAAAAGATATTGCCGCTTTCGCTTTTACTTGATTTTATTTTATACATTTTCAAGCAAACAAATGTTTAAAATTTGTGGGCGTTGTTCAATGCTGTCTCTTGGATTGTCTTTATCGCGGTGATCACGTAGTTGCGTTTTATCTGTCGCTATTTGCATACGCAGCGCGCTGTTACCAGCAACAACAAATTCCATTGTTGGCATTGACTCACACCAACAACAAATACGATGGGCTTAAAAGCACAAAAATCGGGAACAAATTGTTTGATAATTGCTGTGGGAAATTAAATGATGGTTCTAAAGTCAATTATTGTAAGCAGAATGCGTGATAAAAGGTATTTGTTAGTGATTGAGATAGTATTAGTGAAAGGTTTTATTTATATTTTCAAATCATTAAAATAATTTTATTTAAATAAAGCGGGGTTTGTACTATTTTGACACATATTCAGAGAAAAATTACGACTAATATGGGCTTCATGAATGATTTTCCTCACAATAAAAGTAAAATTATAAAAACATTGTTTTCGGACGTTATTTCTTTTGCTCAAATATATATTTTAAAAGTCAAAACTTTTCCATACATTCATAAAAGATTATGGATTCGTTATTTTTATTTATAATGCATAAAAATAAAAGCTCTTGTTTAGATAGCATGACTATTTATTTATCCTACGTCGAAACGAAAGGTAAATCGCCTCTTTGAACTTCTCCTGAGAGTGTTAAGTCATTTCCTGATTTGATATCCACAGTACATAAATGTTTTCATAATTACTCATAGCTCTTAATTTATTTTGAAAACCTTACCGTAGTGCAACGCCCACTGGCTGCGTTTCTCCCGCAGCAGTCTGTGTTTGCCCAGACTGAGTTCTGGGGTTCGAGGGTTCGTTCCGTGGGATCTGGTTGGTGCTGCTCTTTGGGGACGCACCGGAAAAGATTCTCAGGCGTGTTTTCGGTTTTGTTTTATTCAACAGTTCATTGCTTTGTGCCAGTTTGTGAACGGGTCTGGCAGCCCCTTTTTCCAGGCCCACAGAATGTACAAGGGCCGATTGTTGTTGGCCACAAAACTGGTTCCCAGGTGCGCCTGCGCAGAAGAGGCTGAAAAAAAATCTGCGGCGCCTTAGAGCGGGGGAGAGCCGACTGTCTCTGAGTCTATTTCTAAGTGTGCTCAATTCTAAGCATTTATTTTTGGGCTGTCTTCACGCCGTAGATTCAGTTAGGTCTTCCCAGAACGAAGATATTAAAAAATAAACGTTAACTGTTTGTACGTGAATGAAAAGTCGCACAGAGAAAAAAGTCATGACTTTATTTTTATCACAAAATATAGACCAAGATCACTGATAATATGAATTATAAAAGTACCTAAAGTCACTCAAAAGAATGTGAACAAGTCACACCTAAATAATAAGTATCAACAAAGAATGAAAGAACTCATTTCCATTCTAAGATTTGTATTGTTGTCTCAAAGTTTTCGCACTCGTGTTGATATCAAAATATGATATGCTTTGATATTGCGATTATTCAGAGTTCGTGCCAATTTATTTTTTCTCTTTGTGCACAATTTTCTGAGAGCTAAACCGTTGAATGTATTGGGACACTCGACTTTATAGTGGGTGCGGGTTTGGGGTTTTTGTTGCTGCTAATCTCCAGCTGTCATGGGAAACGTTTATTTATCAAAACTAATTAGCTTCTGACCGCTTGAATGTATTGTTACCACATTGTATAATAGAAGCGGTTTTATTTAAATATTTAAAAATATTTCCTCACCGCATTTCTTGGAAGTTAAAGCGGAAATTAGTGTGGGAACGCGTTCGCATCTCAGTTTCGTTTCTTTGCGTTCTCTCTCATCTTCACAACAAGGTGTTGGAACAAATGATCGCCCTGAGCTAAGTATTCTTCGGGTCTAAAGTGCAGTCAGACATGAAAGAGGTGATAGTGTGTAAGGTCTACTAGGGAATAGAGCATTGGACATGGGAACCAACTAATCTTGGGAAGAAATTAGTTGCCTTTCAGGAAACGCAACAAAGAACTCATACTCAATGGAGATTATACACCTTTAAGGCGTTTTTTTTATCGGTTGTGCAACAAGAGTTTTTTCAATTTTCTGTGGAAATCTTATATCATACATAAAAACTCCCAGAATCCATTTTTGGCACTTGATAATTAACTTTTTTAGTTTCCGCTCAATATATGTATATTCAAATTTATTTTGTATTTTCCAAAGTTAGTCGAAACTTAATTAGTTCATTAAAAA